CTTATCAGTCACTGATCCCTCGAGAGCATTTGAACGCCCAAAACATCCAAACCATGTCTGAAGCCAGAAGATAAACATGTCAGTCTAGGGGTGTTCGCTTCAGTGAATGAATGGTGACAAAAAGTTTCCCTATAACCAGTACAAGAAATTGCTTTCCGGCGCTTGGCACACCAAGTTGAGAAAAGACTCAGCAAACTTGACATATTGATTTGATTTTGCACGCTCAGCGCCCATGCTGGAAGCTTCTGCCAGCATGGCAGGCCATTCAGCTGCATTAGGGAATGCTGTCCACAATTACAATCATATGCAGTTAGCATCAATTGGCAATTTATTGTCAATTTGTGCCGAATGTAATGTGCAGCATAGGGGTTGGGCGTCCCTGGGTTAGAACCTGGGGCTAGTGCCACCCTTTTTACCACCGGAGTGGTTTGGGCAAAACCTTGGGTTCAGGAATTCAGCCCGTGCAATGATGGTAATGTGATTTTTTATCAAAATCTCAGTCCCTAGGTTTTCAGACACCGGGCCTCGTTAACAGAGAAATCTTTAAAAATGTTGGGCCACCAGGTTTTCAGCCCTGTGACACAACAAACTTGAAAAACACTGGGAATGTTGCATCATAGGTTTTTAGCCCCTGTGGATGACTGCATGATACTGCATGTGACCATTGTAGATGTTGCATGATAGATATGTATTCATAAATGTATCTATATCGATATGTATGCATATATATATATATACAGTGCATACATATACACAGAATATGCATATACACATGTTTGTATAATGGGAACAAATCAAACGGGTTTTTAGACATATCTTGTAATAGGGGTCTGGTGCCCCTGTCTTAAAACCTGAGGCTGGTGCCACCTTTTTTTACCACCGGAGTGGTGGCTGAAACATATGGGCAAAACCTTAGACTCAGCAATTCACCACCTGCAATGATGGTAGTCTGGTTTGATGTCGAAATCAAGGGCCCTAGGTTTTCAGACACCGGGCCTCGTGAACAGAGAAATCTTTAAAGATGTTTGGCCACCAGCTTTTCACCCCTGTGACAAAACAAACTTCAAAAACACTGGGAATGTTGCATCATAGGTTTTTAACCCCTGTCCTTGACAAACGGTGAAGAAAAATGATGACTGCATATGTGTGGATGTTGCACTATAATGCACTATATAGATATAGGATATACACGCACATGTTTCTGTAACGGGAAAATGATGATCAAACACAGTACTGTCAGACACACCTGGTGTCTGATGGTGTCTGTTTTTCCAGATGGCATGAATGATTATGATGTTTTCACTAAAACATGCATGAACCTTGGGCCCAGGTATTTACCCCGGAGAACCAAAACACGGAGCAAGCTCGGAGACCCGCAAACCATGCAAAACAGGCTACATCGGTGGACTTCAAGGGGACCCCCCTTTGTGGATGCAAAAATGGTTCAAAAACAACAATTTTAAATAAGGGTCTTAATGAAGAACTACTGGCCTGAAATTTTGCAATTTTAGTGCTTATGGTTGGCCCGGTTAAACCTGCCACCTCCCCCAGGATCCGCAGGTCAACAAGCATCTCATACAAATCTGGGACCTTGGGACCAGGTATTTAACCCCAGAGGATCTAGAAAGGATTCATCCAAAGAACATGTGGATCTGTTTGGCTCTCTTCAGGCATTGTTCTCAGGCCCAAGTTTTTCAACCCGTGCCTTCTCTTCAGCTTCTTGTCACTTTCCATCTGCCTGGGCACGGGGCAGCCGGAAATAAATCAAAAATTGAGGGCGTCAACAAGATTGCGTCATTTCCCAAAAAGTAAATTGGTTATACAAACAACCGGAACTTTACCTCTTTATCTACTGGATCTTCCGTTGATTCCTGCGGATCATTTATTTTCACGGACAAAAATCCAAACAATTGATTACATTGATTGGTTGAGCAATTTTTTCGTCAGCGCATTCCAAAGCAGTGTTATCAGTGATTGGGAAAACAAAACCAACAAAACCTAAACAAGTCAAACCATCCCAGACTTTCGGCTACACCTCGGTGTTCTTATCCGGCATCGCCGGCGCATCGTCCACCTGGAGAGAGCATCTGAGTGCATCTGCAACGGGATCCGAGGAAATGGATGATTATGATGTTTTCACTAAAACATGCATGAACCTTGGGCCCAGGTATCTACCCCGGAGAACCAAAACACGGAGCAAGCTCGGAGACCCGCAAACCATGCAAAACAGGCTACATCGGTGGACTTCAAGGGGACCCCCCTTTGTGGATGCAAAAATGGTTCAAAAACAACAATTTTAAATAAGGGTTTTAATAAAGAACAATTGGCCTAAAGTTTTGGAATTTTAGTGCTTATGGTTGGCCCGGTTAAACCTGCCACCTCCCCCAGGATCCGCAGGTCAACAAGCATCTCATACAAATCTGGGACCTTGGGACCAGGTATTTAACCCCAGAGGATCTAGAAGGGATTGACCCAAAGAACATGTGGATCTGTTTGGCTCTCTTCAGGCATTGTTCTCAGGCCCAAGTTTTTCAACCCTTGCCTTCTCTTCAGCTTCTTGTCACTTTCCATCTGCCTGGGCACGGGGCAGCCGGAAATAAATCAAAAATTGAGGGCGTCAACAAGATTGCGTCATTTCCCAAAAAGTAAATTGGTTATATATACAAACCGGAACTCTACTTCTTTATCTACTGGATCTTCCGTTGATTCCTGCGGATCATTTTTTTTCACGGACAAAAATCCAAACAATTGATTACATTGATTGGTTGAGCATTTTTTTCGTCAACGCATTCCAAAACAGTGTTATCAGTGATTGGGAAAACAAAACCAACAAAACCTAAACAAGTCAAACCATCCCAAACTTTCGGCTACACCTCGGTGTTCTTATCCAGCATCGCCGGCGCATCGTCCACCTGGAGAGAGCATCTGAGTGCATCTGCAACGGGATCCGAGGAAATGGATGATTATGATGTTTTCACTAAAACATGCATGAACCCTTGGCCCAGGTATTTACCCCGGAGAACCAAAACACGGAGCAAACTCGGAGACCCGCAAACCATGCAAAACAGGCTACATCGGTGGACTTCAAGGGGACCCCCCTTTGTGGATGCAAAAATGGTTCAAAAACAACAATTTTAAATAAGGGTCTTAATGAAGAACAACTGGTCTGAATTTTTGCAATTTTAGTGCTTATGGTTGGCCCGGTTAAACCTGCCACCTCCCCCAGGATCCGCAGGTCAACAAGCATCTCATACAAATCTGGGACCTTGGGACCAGGTATTTAACCCCAGAGGATCTAGAAGGGATTCACCCAAAGAACATGTGGATCTGTTTGGCTCTCTTCAGGCATTGTTCTCAGGCCCAAGTTTTTCAACCCGTGCCTTCTCTTCAGCTTCTTGTCACTTTCCATCTGCCTGGGCACGGGGCAGCCGGAAATAAATCAAAAATTGAGGGCGTCAACAAGATTGCGTCATTTCCCAAAAAGTAAATTGGTTATACAAACAACCGGAACTTTACCTCTTTATCTACTGGATCTTCCGTTGATTCCTGCGGATCATTTTTTTCACGGACAAAAATCCAAACAATTGATTACATTGATTGGTTGAGCAATTTTTTCGTCAACGCATTCCAAAACAGTGTTATCAGTGATTGGGAAAACAAAACCAACAAAACCTAAACAAGTCAAACCATCCCAGACTTTCGGCTACACCTCGGTGTTCTTATCCGGCATCGCCGGCGCATCGTCCACCTGGAGAGAGCATCTGAGTGCATCTGCAACGGGATCCGAGGAAATGGATGATTATGATGTTTTCACTAAAACATGCATGAACCTTGGGCCCAGGTATTTACCCCGGAGAACCAAAGCACGGAGCAAGCTCGGAGACCCGCAAACCATGCAAAACAGGCTACATCGGTGGACTTCAAGGGGACCCCCCTTTGTGGATGCAAAAATGGTTCAAAAACAACAATTTTAATAAGGGTCTTAATGAAGAACAACTGGCCTGAATTTTTGCAATTTTAGTGCTTATGGTTGGCCCGGTTAAACCTGCCACCTCCCCCAGGATCCGCAGGTCAACAAGCATCTCATACAAATCTGGGACCTTGGGACCAGGTATTTAACCCCAGAGGATCTAGAAGGGATTCGCCCAAAGAACATGTGGATCTGTTTGGTTCTCTTCGGGCACTGTTCTCAGACCCAAGTTTTTCAACCCTTGCCTTCTCTTCAACTGCTTGTCCCTTTCCATCTGCCTGGGCACGGGGCAAAGAGAGGGCGCCAACAAGATCGCGTCATTTCCGCAAAATTAGATTGATCATACAACTAATCGAAAGTTGGCTTCTTGAATTTAGTTTATTTTTGAATCTTCCATTGGTTTTCACAGGCAATCGGTTTTACATATTTTCATTATAATGGAGTCACTTCTTCGTCAACGCATTCGGAAACTTTCAACGCACCTCGGTCTTCTGATCCACCTGTGTCGCTGCCGCATCGTCCACCCACAGTTTTTTGTCAAGAGCTTGGATCGACCGTTAATGGAGTGTGGTCAAGTTATTAAGCAACAGTTGGGCTTGTGAATCTTGGGCTGAAGGTTTTAAGCATCATATGCGAAAGTAAGCTGTTTTATGTTGAAATGTTGGGATCAAGGTTTTCACCTCTAGGTTAGCGAAGAACCTCAAAATTGCTAAAATGTTAGGCCAAGGTTTTCAACCCTGCCTTAAAAACCTTGGACCCTAGGAATCCATCCGCCTAGAGGTGGCTGAATACCTTGGCACTACCCCCCTGTGCACACCCAACCCCTATGTGCAGCAACCCGGCAGACCCTATCCAAAACACACAAGGCAGGCACGTCAACTGTCAACAAATTTTAAGGATGTCACCGGAAGACGGGGCTAGATTGTTTTAGCCAGGAATTTGGGGTGTAGGAGTGCGATTTTGGGTTTGATGTTGATGCCAAGGACTTGAACTGGGCAATAGTTCTGCCTTGGCTCTTGATGTTTTGAGCATGGAAACTGCGGACATCGCTGGGGCCCAAACTGGTGCCAGATCCGTTGGGACTGGCGCTTGCTGGTAGATCTGGTAGATCATGGATTCAAAGAGTGCAAGGCCTCGAAATCACCTGGCACCAAGACCCAGGGATGTGGGATTTCCCATCAAGAGCTGCATGTCCTTGCATAGCTTCGCAGCGGTAAGTCTGCCGCAGTGAGACTGAGGACTCACACCGATCCTTGGCATGGCTGTGGCAAACAGTGGCAGTGGCTTGGTTGCTGCTAGAAGAGAAAACATATTGGAGACCTGATCGGACCTGCATTTCAGATCATTTCAGAACTGTATTGGGTTGAATTGAAATGAATTGAATTTTAAGGCGACCTGCTGCTGGGCTGTGAGCGATGTCATTTGTGAAGCTTGGCTACAGACACATCTTCTTTGGCACCGCTTTTCAGTTGTGCAGATGCTTTGCTAATCAAAGTCACGTCAACAAACACTTTTCGGATTTCAGGATGCCTGCATACGCCCTCCTGCTGCCGTCCCGGAGTTGCAGTTGGTGGCCTATCGATGATCTCCCATGCAGAATCCAAAGCAACTCCTAGGTCCTAGTTGCTTGTTAGCTGGGCTGAGGAATGATAATAAATGATATAGGATATTCATATAGCAATGATTTTCAATGTGTATGTATACTGTGATATATATATATATATGTCCACAATAAAACTGTGTATATTATATATATATTAGAAAAAGGCGCCCGCAGCCCATTGAATACCATTGAATCCCATCAATCCCATCCATATGAGCTCATTACGCCAGTAAAACTCTACGTACTGTTTGATGGCTAGGGTTGCTCGAAAGAGTGGTTATTAACCAAACGTTATCCACTGTTATCCAATATTTTATGATTAATTAATATTAAATAGCTGTATATTTCTCTATGAGATTCTATGAGTCGATAAATGACTCTGTTCTTTTGTTGCGTTCAATTTGTTGATGGTGATTGCTTTAGCAGCATGCATTTGAGCATTCGTTGATATTCGTTGCATCATTTTTGATGTGTGCCCTAATTTTTATTCGACTGTTTTCAGTTCTAGGATTTAGAGCGAGTTGATAACGACTAGGGGGTGTCGTGCTTTCGTGCTCTTCGCGAGTTCAAGTTGAGGTGAGCACGAATAGGCTATTTTTATTACTTATCGCTAGTTTCTCTCTCTATTTTTTTGTCTATTTAATTATGATTGTTATTTTCTTTCATGTCGTCTTAGTTATCTCTGCTATGTTTTCATTTTTTGGTTCTTCCTTTTGGACAATTTCGGACTCCAAATTTGAATTGAAAAAGGACAAGACAAGAGAAGAACATTTTAGGAAAGTGATCAGAAAAGAGACAGAGGAAACGAAATCTGGCTTAGACAAGAGAGACTCAAAAAGATGCTTCAGTGGTGGCTCTTTCGATGAACCCCAAAAGAACAGATAATAAAGAAACGGCGCCTGATGCGGGCTGTCCCAATTTTGTTGTAGTATGTACATGAAGATTATCTATAGCGAAGTTCTGTATTTTTGCCACTCCTGCAATTGACATGCTATACAATGTCCTATTGTTTTAGACATTGTTATGTTTTTTTGCTGAGAATGTGCCAGCATTCTCCAATCAGCATTGCATCATGTTCGGCCATGTTCAGCCCAAATTCCTGTGGTGAAGGCAAAGACACCAAGCGAGTTTTGATCAGTTTCAGTCACAAACGAGATATACATATCCTCGGATATTCTGAAGTGAATTTCAATGTTTTGGCTTATGTTTGTTTATGCTTATGCTTGCAGTATCGAGGAAAATTATTTCTATACATACGCTCACAAACGTTTACTTGTTGTTCGGAATCTTAAGATTCTCAGCTACAATGAAACACATATTCGCTTCCTTCTCTTGAACTTCAGATTCACACATTGTTTAAACATATGCTTACTTTTCCCTTAATTGTTAGTTATGTTTTTCTAATACTATTAAAACATATATAGCTACCAGGTTGAAAACTGACACCAGGTCCATGTTTGCAAAACGTAGTTTGAGACTAATCATATCTAATAATCAACGGGTCCTCCAGGGGCCTGTCCTTCGCCGAGGTGGAGGATGTAGACCCATCACCGCCCACTCCAGAGCGAAAAAGCAACCTGCGGCGGCGGCGGCCCAAACCGCTAAGCTTGGGAACCCGGGCCAGTCTGGGAGGTGTGGCCGTTTGGAATGTTTGGACAATGATGGATAATGGATGGTCTATATGGATGGTTACAGATGTATATGCACAACTCGCGCTGGATTAATTATGTAGCATAAGGATGCATAAGGATTAATTATATACTTAGATTTGCTGGATGATATGTGTAAATGTTTGACTAATCAAAGAAGCAAAGAAAGGTCGATAGACATAGTCACATTTATATGCAAATAATTGCAAATATATGTACGCATGACACATGTCACAACAGGCAAGTAGACTCACGCACACTTTTCACATTTTTGAAAATATTCGCAAACCTATTTGTGTGAATTGTTGATATCATGATAACTTTACATATATGCTAAAGCATAAATACACATGACATTTGTATACATTTGTGATGTACTTAAAGGTAGGTTGAAGGTTGTTGAATTGAAATAGATGGCAACGAAATACTGAATTCAACCAGGTGGATCCCCAGATCTTTTTGTGCTCCCTACGAGCTTCACTCCTGAGGTGATAATATTTCCGAAGAGCCGGCCAAACCTTTGAGAAGGGTAAACTCACCACGGCTGCGGCCATGCACTTCGGCAGAGGTTTGGATGGTTTTGGATCAGCCAAAGGGCCAGATTGTAATCTATGGGCCATGCGGATCTATATGACGTACGCCCTGATGCTTGAAAACTCAGGCACACAGCTGGTTCCCGAAGCGTGGCTCTTAGGTTTGAAGAGACTGTGCGATCAGTTGCAATGTTCTCAGGGGCGGACATTCGATGCAAAGTAATTAAGCACCTTCTTCCCACCATCCATCATGGTTGTTAAAAATGCGTAGAAACCGGGACGACCACACAGTCACAAGCTTTGGGCGAATGCCGCGTGTGAAACCGCGTGCCAACTCAGGTGCCAGCTTTGGATTGGTCGCTTGATGGTGCGAGGGAGGCTTGGAGAAATGTTCGAGCCATTCTGTGTTTCTATGCATTTCTATGTGAATTTCTGTCATGACGGCGCACAGGATCTAGATCGCCTGACGCCCGAGCAGAATGCTTTGATGAGCGGCTTTGTAGCACTCATCACGGCAGCAGCTTGCAATCTGATAACTGCCTGGGCCTCAACCGCTGAGCCCGTCTCCAGATTTGGAAGTACTATGAATACTTTGACATACTGTAACATTTGAGTAACCTGGAGAGAGATTGCGTGGACTGAGGTGCCTATGTCTCTTAGCTCTACGCGGCTTGCCCTAGCTGGGGTGGGCGGCTTTTTCCACTTCACAGCGTCACTCGGACAATTGCTCAGCTGTGCCGGTCTGGGTGAACCTTTAGCTCTCACGCAAAATTCTACATGTATTGTAGACTGAAGATTTGTTGTGCAAGAATATGTGCAATAATGTGCAATACCATTTAGTACTGTACCTATAGTCTAATTAAGTAGTAAGATTGTTCTTCTAATTACACGGACCCACTCCAGCTGCGTTGTTGATGCAAAGCTGCCTCTGCCTCTGTGCATCTCTGTGCACTTCACATTTGCCTGCTGTAATACCAGTCTTGCGTATGTCCCGGTCTGTCAGCGTTTGGAGTTTCCACACTGGATGCAACTGCGCCTGCGTCGGAGGTATCTTTGTACATTGTGTGCATTCACGTCTGCTTCCAGCACTGTCAGTTGCCTCAGCCAAGCAGGGTTGAAATTGGAAGCAGGACACCAACAGGACCTGTTCCATTCTGTCCCAATCCATTCTCTTCCTGTTCCATTTGTCTATGTCTGCCATGTGCAGGCCCTGTGGGAACAGCATCACAGAAGCATCACTGCATCTGAGGTCATCACGCCGTTGATGCAGCTCTCGGCCCTGTGGATGCTTCCCTTCTCCACCAGTGCGGCCACCTTGGGCTTCGCCCCTGTCATCCGCCCACTTCATTTGGTGGCAGCCCCTTGTTGGAATTCAAAAGATGTAGAAAGGAGATCAGATGGGATCATTTGGTTACGATTTGGTTGGTTGTTTCCTATGTTTCATCTTGATTTGGTTGTTGATTAATTATTCTAACGATTCTAGCCCTTCATAGCCCTTCATCAATTGAATTGAGATGATAATATTTTTTCAAGCTATTTTCAGGAAGGGTTGAAAGCACCAACAATTCAGCCATGAATGTTAACTCTATGTGAAAAATCCTCTCCACCTAACCCAAATAATAAACACTTCAGGTAGTTTTTATTATTAGGGGGTGAAACCCACAAATGGTAGCTTCATTTTTAAATTGTTGTCTAAAGGCTAAAGGGCATCAATTAAAAGTCAAATTGGCCAACCTAACATTTTCCAAAATTGGAGACGGACACTAGTTTTTATTATTTGGGGGTTAAGTAATAGGGGGAAGGGATTTTGATATATGAATCAAGTGCATATTCCAGAACTGGAATGGTGCCTCCATGCGCCATCTTGCAAGATGTCTATAGATGTTTGGAGTCTAGAGCTTCACTCCCTCTCCCCAGCAGGGAGACCATACATTCCTTGGCTTCTTAGGTACTGCTGATTTGTGTCGGAGGCTTTTTGCCTGCAGCTGATGGTTGCCTTTCCTCAGTGGCTACCGGGAAGTTCTGGCAGCAAAGGGCTGTCAGACACTTGGCTGTGCTTGCTACAGCTCAAGGGGGATGGAGTTTTGGAAATCCCTCAGCGGTCTCTCAAGGACAAAATGTGGCCCTTGATTTGCCAACCGCTCGTTGTACTTATCACCCGATCGTGGATGTGCAAGTGAACATTTGGGGACATCTATGAGAATTTGCTACAGCCTCAATAACAATGTTTCTGACATGGCTGCCAACCTGCTCTGAACCACTGCCCATGAAACCACTCACGACTTTGTATGAATTTCATGTTAATTCTTGAACTGAAACAGCTGTGAGAAACAAGAGGGAGTTGGAGCAGCTTGAGAGCAGATTTGATCCTACAAGTTTGTCGCATGTTGTAGTTGAAAAAAACAGGGAAGTCGCACTTTCACTTTTAATGGCAACGTTCAGTGCTACGTGTCTGAGAAGCTGCCGCATTTTTGAAGTTTCAGGATTCGTGGTATTGGGGGAATTCCTCATTTGCTGCTACAATGTGATACTCCACCAGGCAACTTTTGCTGAAGGCTTCTTGGCTGACCTACCGCCAGGTTCCACCTCCTCTCTGAGTCAAAAAGGCCCATAGAATGGACAAGTCAATATTATATATGTATATTATACATATTATAATTCGTGAGTGTTGGCAGTGTCTGGCCGAGGTAATGATTCTGATTCTGAGCTTGCAACACATCCGCTTCAGTTCTTTCTGGCCAGCCGTGTTGCAAATGGCCTGTGAATGCCTCAGAAGGTTGCTGAAGCCGATCAAGTCCATGGCACGTTTTCACACGACAGTCAAGTGTGGTTTGATTTTATATGTACATAATATATTATATAGTTATAATATATATATATAGAGAGAGAGTATCAGTATATTACTTATTACATGTGATTCTTGTCAAGAACTTTCAACTACTGCTGACCACCCAGTGGCCACCCCAGCACACTGGTCTTGAGGACCTGTGCAATGCTTTTCTTGGCAATCCCTTTCTTGCGTCAACACCTATGGGCCTTGCGGAAGGCGGACGCAAGATCTCGCAAGAATTGTCAGTGAAACGCACAGTTTGCTTGAATTTGAAAGCTGCTTGATGCTGCTTGCATCTTTTTGACTTGGCCTGTTCTGGCTGTGAATATTTGAACCATTCTAGAATGTTTTTTTTTAAATAATATATATTACTTATATTCTGTTCAGGCAGATTAATGCGGACAATGTCATGAAAAACTATTACATAATATTCACTAAAATGCACTATATCACTTGTGGGTGTGCATACGTATACATGGATATACATGGATACATGTAGATTCAATGAATGATTCAATGTAGATATACATCCCGGCGGAAGGGAAACCGCGCGAGCGTTTTCATTGGTTGCTTCCAGGAGAGTCACAGCCACCTGTAATTTACAATCTAAAATGTTCTTCCGATCAGTTTGGATAACTGAATTGGGGTTAAAAAAAGTGGATGCAAAATCTATTGATTTTTAACAAATCCAGGTAAACATCATGTGCATCAGACGTGGATGCGCAGATTTTTTCACACTCTTCTGTAGCAACATGTCACGTAGTAAACGATCCCAGAGATCTCAGCAGCGTAGCAACATGTCACGTAGTAAACGATCCCAAGGATCTCAGCAGCGTAGCAACATGTCACGTAGTAAACGATCCCAGAGATCTCAGCAGCGTAGCAACATGTCACGTAGTAAACGATCCCAGAGATCTCAGCAGCGTAGCAACATGTAACGTAGTAAACGATCCCAGAGATCTCAGCAGCGTAGCAACATGTCACGTAGTAAACGATCCCAGAGATCTCAGCAGCGTAGCAACATGTAACGTAGTAAACGATCCCAGAGATCTCAGCAGCGTAGCAGCATGTCACGTAGTAAACTCTCCCAGAGATCTCAGCAGCGTAGCTATGTAACGTAGTAAACCATCCCAGGGATCTCAACAGCGTAGCAGCATGTCACGTAGTAAACGATCCCAGAGATCTCAGCAGCGTAGCAACATGTCACGTAGTAAACGATCCCAGAGATCTCAGCAGCGTAGCAACATGTCACGTAGTAAACGATCCCAAGGATCTCAGCGTAGCAACATGTCACGTAGTAAACGATCCCAGAGATCTCAGCAGCGTAGCAACCTGTAACGTAGTAAGAAAGTCCCAAGGATCTCAGCAGCGTAGCAACATGTAACGTAGTAAACGATCCCAGAGATCTTAGCAGCGTAGCAACATGTCACGTAGTAAACGATCCCAGAGATCTTAGCAACATCGCAATATATCCTGTACAAAATTTGAGGAACGTTAACATGCCCCCCCACCTCACCCCACCCCAACCCCAACCCACACTAACATGGCAATATATCCTGTACGAAGTACGAGGAACGTTAACATGCCCCCCCACCCCACCCCACCCCGACCCCAACCCACACCTAGAGATCTCAGCAGCGTAGCAACACGTAACGTAGTAAAAGATCCTAGAGATCGTAGCAACATGGCAATATATCATGTACGAAGTACAAGGAACGTTAACATGCCCCCCCACCCCACCCCACCCCAACCCCAAGACAAAGAGCAATACTCAAAAAGGAAGCAAAATGCACGTACGGTTTTCCTGCCGTAGGCATATACATGATATACCGATATACTCTATTTTTTCTTCAACAGGTGAAGCGGCGATTTTTTGCCACCGCCTTTCTGGGGGAATGCCTGTCAATGATGCTGGGTGGCAGTGGCAATGCTTGGTCAAACACTGGCATGTCAAAGGAGTTTGCTTAGTTCATCAGAGTGCTTGTTGAACTAGTCATGCAAGATCATGCAAGGACAGGAGTTTGCTTGGTCACCTTTTCGTATTCTGGCTTCTATGAGCCTTCGGTTGTCAATGCAGTTGAAGGCTTGTTTCGCGGGAGAGATTGTCTTCTGGTGTGGGTTCGTGGATGTAACAGTGGATGGACCTCATAAGAATCCTGGTGCAAGCACTCCTATTCTTGAGCCGTTGTGCACTTCTAGTGGAAGTACAGAAACAACTTCGTTCAGTGCAATTTTTGCGCGGGATTTCATTTCCTGCGGGATGACCGAACATGTATGTTACTATATAATATATAATTATATATATATATATTATATGTGTGACTTGCATGTCACATGTCTCACATTCACAGGAAGTGCTGCTTGTGCTAGGTGGATTGCAGCAGCTCTTCAATTTGCTTTTTGCAACTTGACAAAGTGGAGATCACTGGAGTGCTGGTTGGATATCGCATGATATCCATTGATATCCCACATCATCCCACTGGCTGCCTATTGCACCGGCTGCCAAGGCAGTGATCTCACATCGGCTGCTTGGTCTTGGCCGTGGAGTGGAGCAGGTGTCTCTTTACGGGCATCAGTGTGGTTGGGGTCTGGATTCCATTGACAGATATTGAAAGGTCGAAGATTAAACACCTCGAAAAAATAATTCAAAAGTTCAGAAGGCTCAAATTGGTAGTGACTATTAAATGACATTAGTGACTCGTTGTCTTTTTGAGCTGTTTCATCTCTGTTGTCCGCTTGTACGGTGTACGTCATTGACGTGAATAAACAGGCAAAGAGGCGGGCAGCAGCCAACAAAAAGAGCCAACTATTGAATGGAAATACCATGCGACGGGGAAGCTGGTCACCCACCAAAAGCGAGTTGAACATGTGGGCTTCATTGCCAGCAGGAGAGCATGGGTCAGCGAGGAATGCGGTCATTTGTGATTAATTATAGACCGCATATGATGGGATGTCAAAAAAATAGTAGGATGTGATTGATATGTTCTCTTGTCTTCGTGGCAAATATATAGTTTAGGCCCTTGTTTTTTAGTGATGATTTTACTGATGGGCCCCACCAGAAGCATGATCAGCAAGGCAGTGCTGGATTTTTAGGTTTGCGTTAGGTGTCTTGAGTTTAGAATTATAGAGCAGGTTATCCCGTTATCCGCTTACTCTCCGGTCCTTTTCCGCTTCCTTTTATCTTGCGTCTTTCCTCAGATGCACAGGTGAGAAGTGTCACGCGACGGTAGGCAAAGACTGCAAAGAGAATGTATGTCAATGTATTTCAGACTTGAAGTGGCACAACGCTCCAACACAACAATCATGTGTCGCGATTGAATTTGCTCTAAGTCTTTTCAACTGAAGCTAGGAAACTAAACAGAAGCCAATACCACCTTTCCACCAAACTGTGATTTGAAACAAATTGTCAGAAATTGAAAATTCTTTGGAGATTTTGCGCTGGCTCGGGGCTAGACTGTGCTATAATATGCTACAATGATTAGTTGCCCATTTCAATCGTAGCTTTGTTGTCACTACTTTGAAAGCTTGTGCCTCTAGTTTGTTATAGTTTGCTTTTTGGATGCGTTTCTTTAGCTTTTCCGATTTACAGTACGGGGGCCTCCCCCATCCACCCTTCCAATCATGGTACTTCTCCATAGATCATACACCTTATAATATGTAAAGAACAAGAGGCGGGCCTGCATCAGAATGGCTTTTACGAGCGCTTTCGGGAAACGATATTCTGAACTGCTCATGACACCAATGTGAGCAGCAGCAGTGAACAAATCTAGACTGCGGACCTGGGTTCCAGAGAAGTTGAAATTAATGCGGCCAGTTGAACCCACTTGTAAACAAGATTTGAAAACGGAGAACTGTGGCCCCTTACACTTGAAAGATTCAGAACCAAAACTCAGGACAACTCAAATTAATGTCAAATTGACACTGTGACATGTAGCTGGAATATTCCGATAGGCACGGCCAAACCCGTGAAGCCGACATCTTCTCGTAGAATATACAGAGCTGGAAGCGAATGTACTCGTTGCTGCTCCTTGCTCTCATTGGCATGTCGTACTCCAGTTGCTGCTTCAATGTCGAAGCCAAGGCTGACACTACAAAGACCACGTAAGTAATTTATCTAATAACGTCAGTGGATGCATCGTAATGAAAGTGAAAACCCATGGATTGTTCATTTCTGTTGGCATCATTTGTTATGCCAACCGCGAAAACGAGGTTTGCATCATTTTGCCATGCAATCTTGCGTTTGCTTGTGCAAACAATGCAGAGTTCAGCGTTTTAGTGTCTATTGCTCATTCTTTTCCTTTCTGTACTGCAAAAAGTCAATGAATCGTATCCGCTGCCACTGCCAGGTGCCCGTAAAATGCGTCTCCTTGCTTTTAGTTTGCTCTGGCCTAGCGCTATCTACAACTTGACTTTGCACCTCGTCCTGAATGGGGAAAGTGATGGAGCATGGACCAGCATGGACAAAGAGCATCAAAACATGGGTTTTAATTGGTGCATTTGCCGGCTTGAGCTCATGGAGTGTGATCCAAGGAGAGCCAAACGGCAGTGAAATCGATAAATTGGAGGCACCTTGAATCAGCGCCGTGATAAAAGATCATACAATCACAATAGATATCAATAGATCATATAGATTCATATAGATCATACAAGTAGCTTGGGGGAGTCATTCGCATAAGTCCCAGTGTTGGAAGTTGCTGCTGCAAATATACTGTAAGAGATTGTGTATTATATTCCTCCTACAAGTAGCCACTGATTGTATGCGGTGGGTTTAAGCGGTTGCCCTCATGCCCTGCGCTTGTGCCATGCATTTGGCAACTGTGATCATACAGCGCTCGGTGCAGTTTTGTCTCCCCGAAGCCTTCCGCTTCTGAACACCCATCAGTCAAGAAGCCAAGACCTAGACCGCTAGAGCTTTCGAAAGAGAGCGGAGGCTTCCCAGGCCAAGTTTGAAAGTACAAGGTCAACCTTGGCCTCTTTGCATATCTTTGTCCTGTAAGCCGTTTCAACGAGAATTGCAGGGGCGAAGCAAGGTCAGGACTCCAGTTTCTCTTGTCGGCATTGGCACGATCTTAGTTTGTGAATTCAGGCCAAACTGAACTACATATATATAACATCATATGAGCAGCGGCTTTTATTTGGTTAAATGGAGAATAGTATTGTGGCGTACCCCGGTTTGTCGAAAACATCATAGTTAGGTTGTAAAACGAGGTAGGAACACCCCGAGAACGAGGTAGGCACCGCACGCAAAGCATTTAGCTATTAAAAACAAGTGCGGCATTGGAGAACGAGGTCAGACCCCAAAAAACATGACGGGACTGGAGAACGAGGTAGGAACACCCCGTCAATTGCGTTTTGTATCAAATAACATCCGCGGCTCATATAACTCCTGAAATTCGGAACAAGGAGTGAATCTCTCTCCTGTCTCCGGCAGTCAAGGCGAAGATCAATGTCCCGCCCCTGCAAAATATAATTGGTTTGTAAAGGCTGATGGTCAGCTCTTGGCCCCCCCTGCAGTATCCTGCCGTCATGAGCAAATCCTGCAAGCATCTACAAGCAATGTTCATATATGTTCATATACAGGTGTCATGTTTTCCCACCGCAGGGCCTTGGGTGCTATGCGTCATCAGTATCTCATAGTTTCAGCAATCTGTGGTTCCGGGAAATCCTTGTCCCATATTTTATGGGGAAATGGCAAGCAGCCAAGCAGCCAAGCCTGCGTTGCTGTTGATGTAGATGATCAGATGGATGACGACCTTCTGTTTTACATTTATTTACATTTTCTAGACAAGAAATGTCAAGAGTCAAGACTTCTGACAAGAAAATGCTGTATTTAATTATTGTTGACAGTCATTTGACGAATGTTAAGGATTTAGTGTGAGCCACCGGATGCATCAATCTGATTGCGTACATTGTATGTCAGTGACTCCTCGCTTCTCCCAAACAAGATAAACAAGAAACAGGCATGCAGACATGCATTGCAGACATGCATGCCCAAGCCTTTGAGACACTTCCCAGGGTCGGTCATGTCATGTCCTCTTGAAATCTCTTGAATAGGTGAGGTTTGGCAGCATTCCCACAAACATCACAAACCACCATAGCCTCCGATCTTTGCATTCGATGAATTCTACCCTATGTTGGAGTTAGTCTTCGTCGCACATCGGCGCTGTTTTGTGTATCGTTGTGTCATGTGAGCCGACATAGGCTGCAGATTTCACACGGACTTCCCGGATCCATGACACCGATTTGACATCGGCTTTCAAAACTCGTTGCCACGTTCAATTGGCTTCATGGGTCCCCAAGTGCAGCCCACATAACTGCCGCACGATGTCATTTCTTGAACCAGTTATCCTACTTTGTGGCGCCTAAGGCAGTGAAGTGTATAGCGTATTCAAACAGACGTTCTGTATCGTTTTCTGAATGCACGTACCTATTGTTTTTCTTTTGTTTGTAATGCCTATGGAATATGAGTATTTGAGCCCGGACCAGCAAAATATCCTGATAGAATGAGTGTTGACATGTGTTGACATGAGCATTTCTCTGTTTGCTCCTCAATAACTTGTACAAAAGCCTTGGGAATGAGAGCCCTATCAGCTTCGCAATGGCGGGAAACTTGTCCCATCCCCTCCATGAAGCTCCCAGTGGCACCTATTGCGCCACGAAGTTTGGCAGCCCAAAGGTCCAAGCCCTTCAGCAGGATGTTTGTTATGCTTTTAAAATCTTTTAAATCATTAAGATAAGTCCATTTTTTGATTCAAAAAAAATACTTGGCCATAAGGACGGATGTCTCGATATTGCGCAGAATCGTGTAGGCTATTGCATATGTTTGAACAATTCATCGAAGTGTGCTCACTTGAGACTCAACTACTTCTAAAGTCTACCATCCTGTTACCATCAATTTGGGGCCTGGAAAAGGATCGCTGGTTAGCTGTCAAGGTCCCAGGTCGACTCAAAGGCATGAACGCCTGTTTCTTGGACTTGCAGGTGGCGGTCCTTCCCTGCTGGTGAGCTCCTGTCATGGCAGTTTTCCCTAGCAGTGCATGAGCTCCCAGCTGACCGTCGTGATCCCACCAGTGATTTTCACAGTGCCCAAAGGAGTCATTGAAATGTCATGAAATGTCATGACATGTCTATTGTATGTATAGTGTATATATATATATATGTATATATGTATTATTTTTATAACTATATATAATTATATGTAACTCATTGTAACTCTATATATAATTATATGTAACTATATATATTTATAACTATATATATATACATGGCTTGACCCGGATATTTTGCAATCTCCATATGTTTCCTGCCGACCCTTCAGAGTTTTATCGGGTTTCAACAGATCTTCGTGTGTTTTGATCAGATTGGTTAAGTTCTACCTTAGCTGTGTAGTTGAACATGTACATATATGCACAGTAGGCTATGCTTTTGGAAAGGTATGGGGGAACAGGCTCGCCCATGTGTTTACCAATGGTCATCAGATTGTGTTGCTTCATCTTTGTTGGAGGGCGCTTCCGACAGACTGAATCTCATGGATACATCGCTGATCCGCTATCGGCCTGCCTTCGGCACTTTGAAACGTGGCGAGGGAAAAAGGGTGGCACTTTGTTTGTGTGGCCTCCCATCGCCCTGTTGCTTTTTCTATGCAAGGAACCTTCTAGTAAAATCCATTGTACAGTAAGTACATGGCAATTGTGAATTGTGGCACCGGTTACCAGACAGCAATAAAGGAATGCGGACACGAACAGGAACACATTTGTCGAAATTGATGGAAACAACGGGCGGCTCATCACAGTGTATCAACTTGTTTTCTTGCGTGCTCCACTTCTCCAGGCACGTTGTGGGCCTGAGCTTCAGCCGCGCAAACTGGTGCATGCATTGAATGCAGAGCCGGCATTGAAAGTGAAGGCGGGGATGAAGTAATGCCAAGTATGTCTGTTAGTGTCTCAGAAAGGATGACAGCAAATGGGACGCGTGTGAATCAACTTGTTCATTCCTGCCCCATCATGTTGAAGAGCATGTCATTTAGCCATGCCCTTATTGGCAGTGGCTGGTGTTGGAGTTGTTGGAGCTTTGACTCTGGAAACATCTGGAAACGGAATCTCGCTTGTGCCCTTGAGGATGCCAACAACGAGCGTCTCCTGCAATTGCGGCTGCAAACAACTACCGTGCGGTTGCCAAACTCTGCACAGCCTCCTGCCTCATCCAATTCTCATGGCACCAAAGACTCTGAAGTTGAAATATTTTGAGCCTTTCGTTGTTGCCTGATGGGATTTGGGCCATCGCCCGGCGGATTCCCAGATTACCAGTGCATGTCATCCGAACAACATACATTTCAATCATTTCATAGATTAAATATATGTTTAAAGCATTTTGTTCACAGATTTTCACAGCAATGTGTCTGAACCCTTCGTCGCATCTCGCAACATCTTGCAAGCTGCAAATGGATAAGTCATGAATATGATAAGTCAGTCTTCAGCCCCTGGGGCCCCAACCTTGCCCCAATTTTGCTAAGATGAGCTCCTTTGCGGAGCTACAGAATTGCATTCGGCGCTGGCCAGGTGGGTCGATGCTGCGTGAGTTTGTTCTCTTCTCTTTCGTAGTGTTTTTATTCTTTGGTTTAGTAAGAATAACTAGTAATGATGTAGTATATTCATGTATATTCTGCGGTTGTCCATTCTAGCCTTTCGTCATGGTTTGTCAGTCCTTCTTGGCGCTGATTTGTGTGATCGTAGGCGAAGTATCATCCAATCACGCTTGATTGATGTTGGGTCGTCTCTTTCTTCGGGGAGATTCATTCTTGTGGTAAGGTAATTGTACCTTAAATTCTCTCAAGAAATCCACTGCGGACACTTACATGCACTGGAATTCAGGTACGGCTTGTGCTGTGGCGGCCCCGAGCCTACACATCGGTCTTGGATTCAAACAGCGACAGTTGAATGCATCACCCGCAGACACATTCATGGACTGTAGATTCTATACAATTGATGTTTAGATTGCCGCGGAAAGTTGGCAAAGCTGTAAAGCCGTGGTAAGATGAGAGATATGACATTTAAACTGAGTCGACCGGTTTGCATGCAGAAAAGCTTCAGATCTGAGGCAGTTGGCTTGGCCGGAGTTGGACGCAACGTCCAGCTGGTTGCCCCTTACCGGGAGGCTCCATGCTGCGAAAGCTTCACCCAGATCCATCCAGACCCAATGGATCCGATGGATTCTAATCCTTTCTGCAGGCTTATGGGACAAAGGATGCCCTAGTCGCGCGGACCCGGCCAAAGTCCAACGGTTGCAACCTGAGCAGCAGCAAAACATGCAGCAAATATCAGCAACGTCGGGAACTTGTGATTTTCTATTCATTCTTTTTCCACCCACCCTGCTGATTACAAGAATGATGCAGCTGGTTGTTTGCCCCACCAGGCTGCATGTTCTCCTAAGACACTGGAGGTATCTGGAGGAAATTATAGGAGCTAGGATGAACATGGATGAACTGGGTAACGTATGGTAACGTTACCAGTCGGTCCATTGCCTCATAAGGAGGTGTTGGGCCTTTACATACGCGCATGGCTTAGCAAAATCACTGCTGTGCTTCTGCCTTGATTGTCCGGTGCCATGACTTTCCAGCGAATCTGAAACCGCCTGCAGCTAGTCAGGTTCAAAGTGGAGACCTTCACTACAGCTGTGGTGATAGAACCTGTGATTGTTTGCAACTCAGGGAGGTCATCGTTCCAACATGTTCCAACATGTTCCAACATGTTCCAACATGTTCCAACATGTTCCAACAGTCAGGTTTGTTGATGACATTTGATGACTTATTTTTTTGTTGGTCACAGTTAATGACTTTTCCTCTTCCTACTGTATCCTACTGTGAGTTGTGATGAATTCAGGAGCGCTTGCTGAAATACCAGCCAGAGTCCAGTGTCATGCTTGATGCGCCCTGAGTTTGTCCAGCAAAGGTGGCCGAAGGTGGCACGGTGACAGTTTGGATTTCTCAACTTTTGACGTCAGATCCGAGGTTGCTGACATATGGAAAGTGAATGGCTTTGTCAAACATGTTTCTGATCTTTGTGCCACCAAGGAGTTGCAAACTCCAGCAGAGTTGCGGCCAGAGTTTGGTGCAGTGCGTTCAGAAAGATATTCAAATTGTTTCCATCAGCTCTATATAGTAGGTTTCATTTGTCAGGCCTTCTAGCTACGAATTCAACTCAAACCTTCTGATAACTGCACAAATTTTAAGGTGCCCTGAGTTTGCCAAATCTGCAGTAGCCTTTGACACAGAGGTCTGGGTGATTTTGGATTTTGCCGAGCCGCTTCTATCTCCTGGTCAACTTTGCTCCCAACTACGAAAATGAATTCCTTGAGATCGCGATTGAAAGAGAAGCCAGTTATATACAAAAATGCTTCTGTTGACCAAAGGCTGTCGCTTCTATGCAATTTTTGGGCCCATTCATTCCTGTTCCCAAGGGATTTGGATAATTTATATAGTTTAAGTTAGTTGAATTAGTTTAATACCTCTATCAGTCTCTTATCTGATTCAATTTAAATAATCGGATATAATATGATATGATATAGATTGATATAGGATATAAGATAAAATAATATAACATATCATTATGTGCTCGAACCTTGGGCCTGGACCAGGTGGGCCTTGCCGAACGCTTCTGCGGAGCTCTGGCAGCGTTGGCACCTGCCACTGCGGACTGTGGCGCGACAGGTTGGTTGGGTTGGTGAGATGTGCCAGGAGATGGTTGGATTTGCCCGGCACAGTTTGCAAATCCACAGCCCTTCTGATTTCTGATGTGTTGCAAATGTCAGATGTAAATTGATAAATGTAAGACATGTGATGTTTGAGTGGCCGGGACTTACAGAGAAGGTTTCACTCACACCTCACATAAAAATCATGGCTTGGAATCCAAGGGGTTGTGCAAGTAGCCACTGCAGAGGTTTCCATTGGCTCTGTAAGGGGGGGGGCCTGGACCGTCCGTACCTACAAACCCAACCTCATCCGCTGGACAGCTTCCTGCCTCTTGGCGAAAGAGCTCATGTCGCGGCATCCAAAGGCGCGGGCCTCTGGCCTCTGACGGGAGTGATGCGATCATATGGGACAGTTAATGAAGTGAATGAAGCACCATCCTTGTGTTTGCACCTTTTTTTCTTGGGCTTCTTGTGGGGTGACAGCATCAAAGCCATTCAAAGCCTCAAAGCTCTCTGGAAAGAAAACTTCGGATGGAATTTGATTTTTGATGATTTTTTTACGGCCTGTGGTGTTGAGGCTGCCGACATGCAGGTGGCTGGTTGCAAAGTGTCAGGGGCCTCAATTTGGTACAAAGCATGCGCAAGCATGTGATCGTCATCCTATACCTACGAATTCCACAGCTGCAAGTTGCATTCTGTTGGCCTGACGCACTTTGCATTCTGCTGATTCATGATATTCATGTGGGAGAGTTGGGTGCCATTTTGAAGCAAGTGGTTGGATTTACATGGAGTTTGCATATATTTGACCTCTGCAGACGCTAGTTTCTCGAGCCAAGTCTGACACCATGCCGGTAGACCCAAATCCAGCAATGTTTGGAACTGGTCCAGCTGATGGGATGACCAATGGAGGCAGAGGGGATTCTAGGGCATTTGAGCCGCCATACCACGGTACCATCCAGGCCATTCCAGGTCACTCCCTGATAATTTGCTACTGCTAGTAATATTTGAATATATTTGATAGTTTTTTCGGGGGTTTTATCATGTTTTATCAAAATGCTTTGAAAGTCCCCTGGCGCTTGTCCATGGTCACATGCACCTTGCATGACTTGTCAGGCGAAGATGTGCTTGATGAGGAGGCAGCACAGGTGGTCTCCAGTGTTTTCTCAGCATGTTTTCCAAGACTTTTTAAGCACTTTTGCGAGCTCTGAAGCAAAAAGATGGGAATGGGTGCACGAATCCTTGCAGTCCCCCAGCATTGCCGAAGGCGGAAATGCTGCAGAAAGCCAAGGCTGTGCCCTTGACACCGTTGCCTTTCGAGGTCACAGAGGAAGCACCAGTGGCCAGGCACGACTTGAGACGTCCAGGCACTCTGACCCGAAATGCAACCAATGAAAACACGATATGACACGATAGCAAACCTACACGTATACGGATATACTGTGACACAATACCAACACAGAGATAATCGGCAGGTGTGTAAAAGTAAAACTTGGGCCCAAAGGGGAAAGAAACCGAAGAGAAAATGGAACGTGAGCGGACAGTGCTTGCCGAATGGGAAGCAATCAGAAAATTACCCCAGATGGACATGCAAGTTCTCCGCTGGAACTTGATCACGGTCTTCACGTTTCCTCTTCTTAACAACGTCCCCGATTAGATGCCGCAGTCACAGCCAAGGCAAAGATTGGCCGCATCCGGATTCTGCGCTGTTTTGGCAGAACTGTGTTTGTTGGGCCCCACTGGTGTTGTTCCTTCGTCATGCTGGGAGCTCTTTGGCAGAATTATGGACTGGTTGTGGACCAGGGACATCTTAGTTCAAGAGCAAGTATTGAACATGTCAAGGATTAAGGGTGGACGAGCGTGGAGGTGCAACGCTCCCGTGGCAGTTTGCAGGTCATTTTGGCGATTGGCTCTTCTTTCACTTCGCAGCTTGGCCGAAGAGGACTGAAACATACTGAAACACTACAGATACCTGTGACAGCCTGTGACCTCTCACATAATGTACCACTGTAAGTAGTTGTTGTGCAGTACTTTTGACTCTGTGCCCTTGACGGTAGTCGCTGCAATTTGTCGGCTGTTCTCCATATCATGGTGCTTCTACTTCTCTTTTTCTCGAAAACGTGATAGCACTGCCTGCCAAGGTACAACCGCACCAAGGGCAGTTTGTTCCTGCCTCAGCAAGCTGCACTATGGCCACGGAAGGCAAGATGGGTCCAAATTTAAATCCCTTGTTTCATCTTGCCTTGCCAAGGCTGCATAGTGTCCTGGGACTTGTGGCGACATTGGCATCTGCACTGTCCTTCTTGGCTTGTGCTCTGTCGAGTCCTGGCATCCTCAAGCCATCTCCTGGTAGTGCAGGAGGCATGTGCCATTGCTCATAGACTCATATATCTCATATCATCTCATCCATTTGAGAACCGAGGAGTCATGACTGAGAAATATAAGATGTTGGGGCATTGCGTCAGCCCAGTGATTGTCTACTTATTGTCTACTTATACCATCTTATACCATGGGATCCCAAGACCCTTGAAATCGCAAACACCTTGGAAAAGACGATCTTTTCCCAAAAAAGTCGAACTTTTGGAAATCATCTATTTCCAAGATTGGGCCAAGTATATCAACATACCATAAAAATGTTGTGGACATCCATGAAACCATGAAACATGAAGTTTCAGCAGTATTCAAGAAAAGACGAACTTTTTATGAAATGTGCTCAAAAGACGATCTTTCCACCAAAGTACAGCAATTTTGTAGAATTTGGGTTCGGATGGTATATCTTACATCTTTATATATCTTAAATATATCTTTATATATCTTTATGTATCTTTATATATCTTTATGTATCTTTATGCTGGGCATTGACAAATGGGTAACCAGGGTCAGTACCTCGCTTAAGCCTACGTTTTTACTCGCTTACGCCTACGTTCGTGAAATATGATGGCAGCACCAATAGAAAGTGACAGAGAAGTCTTTGAATATGACTGCAACAGGTGTGACAGAGATGATGAGCAGGACACTTTGATTCGATCATATGAATTGCATGTCACTTTTCAGAAGATGTTTCAACGTATCAGGAATATGTCGCAATGTATCAGGAACATGTTTGAACTCACTTGAAGAAGTTGCTTCAACGTATCAGTACCGTCTGGCAAGTTACTGTAAGACGAGGTGACACATGTATCAGGAAGGTCGTGCAATTTACTTACAAGTAGGAAGATAGATGTTGCAACGTATCAGGAATGTATTGCAAGCTACTTGACGAAGATGTTGCAAAATAGCAAGAACATCATTCAAGGGACTTGAAGAAGTGTTGGTAGTTTGAACAAGTGTCCCCTAAGCCCACCCCAAGTGTCCCCAAGTGTCCCCTAAACCCACCCCAAGTGTCCCCAAGTGTCCCCTAAGCGTCCGCAAGTGTTAAGCTAAAGGGCTGTATCCCTTGGAGTTGGTTCCCTAGGCCTACCCAAGTGTCCCCAAGTGTCCCCTAAACCCACCCCAAGTGTCCCCAAGTGTCCCCAAGTGTCCCCTAAACCCACCCCAAGTGTCCCCAAGTGTTAACCTAAAGGTCTGTATCCCATGAATTTGGTTCCCCAAGCCCACCCCAAGTGTCCCCTGTCCCCTCCCACCCCCCCAAGTGTCCCCACCCCAAGTAAGCGTCCGCCTAAAGTATCCCTTGGAGTTGGTTCCCTAGGCCACCACAAGTGTCCCAAGTGTCCCCTAAACCCACCCCAAGTGTCCCCAAGTGTCCCCAAGTGTCCCCAAGTGTCCCCTAAACCCACCCCAAGTGTCCCCAAGTGTTAACCTAAAGGGTTGTATCCCTTGGAGTTGGTTCCCTAAGCCCACCCCAAGTGTCCCCAAGTGTCCCCTACTCCCACCCCAAGTGTCCCCAAGTGTCCCCTAAACCCACCCCAAGTGTCCCCAAGTGTTAACCTAAAGGTCTGTACCCCATGGAGTTAACTCTGAAGTCAACGTACAAAATGTCGGCTTATAATGAGTAAAAAAGTCGGCTTAAATGAGTCTCGGACCGGTAACCAGTACGAGGTAGCCAACAGCTAGATTAGTGATTAGCTTGACTCCTTCTTTGTTCTTGATATGCCACTGGCAATTGATGATTTTTCATGATTTTTCGGTATCCATCAAGTGCCTAGAATCCTCTATACAGTCTAAGTCTATATCAATGGGAATTCCAGGATCCTAAAATGGAGGTACTGTACCATATAAGGCCATATTTTGTGGGGATATTCCCTTACATAGGCCTTACATAGGCCTTATATATGGTAGGTACCTCCAATCTAGGATCCTGAAATGGCCATTGACTATAATGTTGGTTCCTGATTAGTGTGGGGAGGCCCCCCCCCCCAAACAAATTTGCGTTACAGAATAGTGTGGAAAAAACAAGGTACCGGGTACAGAATACGGTAAAATCAAAAAAAATGATAGATTTAAATTGATTTCAATTTACTTTCAATTGATTTGAATTGATTTTGAATTGATTTCAATTTACTTTCAATTGATTTGAATTGATTTTGAATTGATTTCAATTTACTTTCAATTGATTTGAAATTACTTTCAATTGATTTCAATTTACTTTCAATTGATTTGAATTTATTTTGAATTGATTTCAATTTACTTTCAATTGATTTGAATTTATTTTGAATTGATTTCAATTTACTTTCAATTGATTTGAATTTATTTTGAATTGATTTCAATTTACTTTCAATTGATTTGAATTGATTTTGAATTGATTTCAATTTACTTTCAATTGATTTTGAATTGATTTCAAGTTACTTTCAATTGATTTGAAGTTACTTTCAATTGATTTGAAGTTACTTTCAATTGATTTCAATTTACTTTCATTTGATTTCAATTTACTTTCAATTGATTTCAATTTACTTTCAATTGAATTCAATTTACTTTCAATTGAATTCAAGTTACTTTCAATTCATTTCAAGTTACTTTCAATTGATTTCAATTTACTTGCAATTGATTTCAATTTACTTTCAAGTAAAAGAAAAAAAAACAATCACCTCAGGAAGCAGCTGGACACAATAGTGTACCCCCAAACAAACCATACTATTGTGTATCAGGGTTGCTCATGGACTACCCCCTTGAAAAATTGTTTGAGTGATGTTTTTTAATTGGGTTTTAATAAGGCATCATATATTTTGGAAAATTCAGCATTTCTGAGAATTCTAAATAAAAGAAACTAATTGAGAAAATAAAAGAAACAAACTTTAGCAAAGGAAAAGGTAAAGGGAATGTTTCAAAAAAAATCACCTCAGGAAGCAGCTGGACACAATAGTGTACCCTCAAACAAACCATACTATTGTATATCATGATCATTCATGTTTTTTTTGCTTGGCTGAAACTAATCCTTTGGAAAGCCTTTGGTTTTGATTCCAAGAAAAATGAAGCTAAGTAAAAGGAAACAAACTTTAGCAAAGGAAAAGGAAAAGGAAAAGGTTGAAAAAAAACATAACCTCAGGAAGCAGCTGGACACAATAGTGTACCCTCAAACAAACCACGCTATTCTGTATCAGGGTTGCTCATGGACTACCCCCTTGAAAAATTGTTTGAGTGATGTTTTTTAATTGGGTTTTAATAAGGCATCATATATTTTGGGAAATTGAGCATTTCTGAGAATTATAAATAAAAGAAATTAATTGAGAAAATAAAAAAAACTTTAGCAAAGGAAAATGTAAAGGGAATGGAAATCCCATAGAAAGATCATAGAAATAACATGGAAACCCCATAGGAATCTCACAGAAACCCCATAGAAAGATCATAGAAATAACATGGAAATCCCATAGGAATCTCACAGAAATCCCATAGAAAGATCATAGAAATAACATGGAAATCCCATAAGAATCTCACAAGGAAATCCCATAGAAAGATCATAGAAATAACATGGAAATCCCATAGGAATCTCACAGAAATCCCATAGAAAGATCATAGAAATAACATGGAAATCCCATAAGAATCTCACAGAAATCCCATAGAAAGATCATAGAAATAACATGGAAATCCCATAGGAATCTCACAGAAATCCCATAGAAAGATCATAGAAACAACATGGAAATCCCATAGGAATCTCACAGAAATCCCATAGAAAGATCATAGAAATAACATGGAAATCCCATAAGAATCTCACAGAAATCCCATAGAAAGATCATAGAAATAACATGGAAATCCCATAGGAATCTCTCATAGAAATAACATGGAAATCCCACAGGAATCTCACAGACATCCCATAGAAAGATCATAGAAATAACATGGAAATCCCATAGGAATCTCACAGAAATCCCATAGAAAGATCATAGAAATAACATGGAAATCCCATAAGAATCTCACCACAGAAATCCCATAGAAAGATCATAGAAATAACATGGAAATCCCATAAGAATCTCACAGAAATCCCATGGAAAGATCATAGAAATAGCATGGAAATCCCATAGGAATCTCACAGAAATCCCATAGAAAGATCATAGAAATAAAATGGAAATCCCATAAGAATCTCACAGAACTCCCATAGAAAGATCATAGAAATAACATGGAAATCCCATAGGAATCTCTCATAGAAATAACATGGAAATCCCATAGGAATCTGGAAATCCCACAGAAATCCCATAGAAAGATCAGAAATAACATGGAAATCCCATAGGAATCTCAGAAATCCCATAGAAAGATCATAGAAATAACATGGAAATCCCATAGGAATCTCACAGAAATCCCATAGAAAGATCATAGAAATAACATGGAAATCCCATAGGAATCTCACAGAAACCCCATAGAAAGATCATAGAAATAACATGGAAATCCCATAGGAATCTCACAGAAATCCCATAGAAAGATCATAGAAATAACATGGAAATTCCATAGGAATCTCACAGAAATCTCATAGAAAGATCATAGAAATAACATGGAAATCCCATAGGAATCTCACAGAAATCCCATAGAAAGATCATAGAAATAACATGGAAATCCCATAGGAATCTCACAGAAATCCCATAGAAAGATCATAGAAATAACATGAAATCCCATAAGAATCTCACAGAAATCCCATAGAAAGATCATAGAAATAACATGGAAATCCCATAGGAATCTCACAGAAATCCCATAGAAAGATCATAGAAATAACATGGAAACCACATAGAGCCTCACAGAAATCCCATAGAAAGATCATAGAAATAACATGGAAATCCCATAGAATCTCACAGAAATCCCATAGAAAGATCATAGAAATAACATGGAAATCCCATAAGAATCTCACAGACATCCCATAGAAAGATCATAGAAATAACATGGAAATCCCATAGGACTCTCACAGAAATCCCATAGAAAAATCATAGAAATAACTGAAATAACATGGAAATCCCATAGGAATCCCACAGAAAGATCATAGAAATAACATGGAAATCCCATAGGAATCTCACAGAAATCCCATAGAAAGATCATAGAAATAACATGGAAATCCCATAGGAATCTCACAGAAATCCCATAGAAAGATCATAGAAACATCATGGAAATACCTTGGAAAACCCACAGGAATCCAATAGAAATTCCATAGGAAAGATCATAGAAATACCATAAAAATCCCATAGGAATCCAATGGAAATCCCATAAGAATACCATAGAACTCCCATAGCACCCCTTCAGAAATACCATAGAAATCCTCCAGAAATATCATAGAAACATCATGGAGACCTCATAGGAATTCCATAGAAATCCAATAGTAATACCATAGAAATACCATAAAAGAAAAAAACTTTAGCAAAGGAAAAGGAAAAGGAAATGGTTGAAAAAAAACATAACCTCAGGAAGCAGCTGGACACAATAGTGTACCCTCCAAACAAACCACACTATTGTGTATCAGGGTTGCTCATGGACTACCCCCTTGAAAAATTGTTTGAGTGATGTTTTTTGATTGAGTTTTAATAAGGCATCATATATTTTGGGAAACTGGGCATTTCTGAGAATTTCAAATGAAAGAAACTAAGAAAGTAATTAAGCAATTAAAAGAAAAAAGACTTTAGCAAAGGAAAAGGTAAAGGAAATGATTGAAAAAAACAAAAAAAATCATGACCTCAGGAAGCAGCTGGACACAATAGTGTACCCTCCAAACAAACCACACTATTCTGTATCAGGGTTGCTCATGGACTACCCCCTTGAAAAATTGTTTGAGTGATGTTTTTTAATTGGGTTTTAATAAGGCATCATATATTTTGGGAAACTGGTCATTTCTGAGAATTTCAAATGAAAGAAACTAAGAAAGTAATTAAGTAATTAAAAGAAAAAACTTTAGCAAAGGAAAAGGTAAAGGAAATGATTGAAAAAAACAAAAAATCATGACCTCAGGAAAGCAGCTGGACACAATAGTGTACCCTCCAAACAAACCACACTATTAATGTATCAGGGTTGCTCATGGACTACCCCCTTGAAAAATTGTTTGAGTGATGTTTTTTAATTGGGTTTTAATACGGCATCATATATTTTGGGAAACTGGTCATTTCTGAGAATTTCAAATGAAAGAAACTAAGAAAGTAATTAATTAATTAAAAGGAAAAACTTTAGCTAGCAAAGGAAAAGGTAAAGGAAATGATTGAAAAAAACATCACACCAGGAAGCAGCTGGACACAATAGTGTACCCTCCAAACAAACCACACTATTCTGTATCAGGGTTGCTCATGGACTACCCCCTTGAAAAATTGTTTGAGTGATGTTTTTTAATTGGGTTTTAATAAGGCATCATATATTTTGGGAAACTGGTCATTTCTGAGAATTTATTTCAAATGAAAGAAACTAAGAAAGAAATTGATTGAAAGGAAAACACTTTAGCTAGCAAATGAAAAGGTAAAGGAAATGATTGAAAAAATCAAAAAATCATGACCTCAGGAAAGCAGCTGGACACAATAGTGTACCCTCCAAACAAACCACACTATTTTGTACCTGGATGTAATTTTCTGTGGAAGGCATCTGGAAAATTTCAATGATGGAAAATAAAAAGTAAAAGGAAAAAACTTTAAAAAATGAAAAAAATGAAAAATGTTTGAAGAACAAAAAAAGACCAAGACACAATTGTGTATCCTGACACAATGACACAATTGTGTATCCTGACACAATTTTACAAAATAATAAAAAAATATATGTAATTAAAAATAAAAATAATTAAATTAAAAATTATTATAATTAAACATAAAAAATAATTTAAAATAAAATAAAAAATAATTAAAATTAAAAATTATTATAATTAGTTAATTAAAAATAAAAATAAAAAATAATTTAAAATAAAATAAAAAAATAAATTAAAAAATATTATAATTAAAAATAAAAATAAAAAATATTTTAAAATTTTAAAATAAAATAAAAAACAATTAAAAACTAAAAAAATGAAAAAAATGAAAAAAAAACTTACACCAAAATCCTGTGGACACAAAACTGTACCCTCGATCATTTCCAAAGTTTCAGAATAATTTTGAGGTCTGTGGACACAATTCAGTATCCCCACACTAATCAGGATCCAACATTACAGCAGTTTCCGTTGTCGTGTCGTTCGGTTCCAAATGGGTTCAAGTTTGCTCTTGATAGCGCAGGTTCAGGGCATCCAGAGCAGTTTTTCGCATCCAACGGCAAGAGGCATTGCAATGTGCCTTGGATCACAGCCATTCAACTTAGTTTTGGGCCGCACGAAGCAGATATTATGGGTCTGGATACACTCAGCTAGTATCAGCTAGCATTCCTTCCCCATGTCATGTCCTGTCATGTAATTTTTCTCTGTGCGTTTTGAGGCTTGCGACCTGAAGCAACCAGCTGGTGTTCTGCATTGCGACTATTGCCATGTTTGCAACTGTGAGATAGATGGTCATGTTGGTTTTATATTATATAATATAAATCCTTCTTGTGTTATAAAGTTCCGAGCCGCCAAAGCGAATGGAAGACAAATATAGAGAAATCATATTGCATGTTTACGCTGACATTGCGATGGCAACCTATATAGTTCGTTCTGACCACATTTCGTTTGCGTCATCAAGTCTTGTCATCTCAGGCATCATTGGCTGGGATCATCATTGTCCCTGGATGAACAAATGTATCGGCCCCGCGGCAGCAAGGCAGGCCAAAGCACACTCTCTGTAGTTATATAAGTTATGTTATATTTCTTTGAAGCAGAACGTAACTAAATGTGTTTGGAGTTTGGAGATGGATTGAAACGATGGCCTGAAACCACATGGCATTGCTGGTTGGACACCCTTAAGGTGAGGGCAATTTGTTCTTCTTCAACTCTTTCCTTGGAGTCAGTCTGAGCTCTTTGGGCTACATCGTCTTGGCCACGATGTTGGGATCCTAAATCTTGGCACGACCTCCAAGCTCCATGAAATCCTGCACCTGAACGCCTACGCAGTTGTATGTTTGAGTCGGCAAAGACCATCACCAGTGGGGCCCAGGATGAATGGCCCTTTATCAATGGCTGCCACTGTCAATGGCCCATTGCGGTATATCGTGGTGGTACCTCCGCTGCAACCGCCGCCAAAGCTGCGGCAGCAGCTAGTGCACAGTTCTGACCTCATGGCCGAGTTCTGCTGCTGTTGTGGAGGAAAAAATAAGGGAACTGCATAGAACTGCTAATTAATTTAATCCACTTCCGAGAACTGGGAATGTCGAGACGATCTTCTGACCAGGCTCAGCAACTGGCTCTCCCATTGCCAGCAGCGGCTCTCCACACAGCAATGCTGTGCTGCAATGGAGGTCTGGACGTAAGAAGTCAATGGTCAAATGATATTAATATCTGATGAGATAAATGTCGCAAGCCTTGCATTTACAACCTTGCTTTGTTGCATCAACCTGTGTTTGATGTTGCATCATCCAAATCAAAACTCATCCGGGCAGTCTTTGCCGGACCCGAGCGCTTGAAACAGGCCATCACTGCCGCCATGCGACGGCACAACAGCAACGCAGCTGTGCAGGAGGCAGGTCTGACACCAAAGATCCTTTCCCTTGGGGGAACATGAAATGGTGGAGGATGGCACAGGTTAAATGGGATTGGAAAGAAAATTAATGAAGCATTGAACCATATTGAACCATATTGAACCATATTGAACCATATTGAACCATCATTCAACAATTTCTTACAAGTCATTGGCCGCACCGTGCTGTAGGCAGGAGCTGCGGCGATGAGTGGAACAGCTGGCTGGGCGGAGCTGCAAGCAGTCTGTGCTCCAAGTGATCAGAACCTCTTTGGACGTGGGCATGGCTAGGGAACGCATAAGAACACCAGGCAGATGAGGTTCATTTGCAAATTGCACAATCACTGAGGGATCATTTTCAACAATATTGTAGAGATGTATGGGGCCCTATAGTACGGTCATTTATCCTTATGAGGAATGGCAACCCCCAATAAAATCGATCAACATTTGATGGTTGAATTGACGGTCCCAATGTTTGAGCTAGTGTTTGAGCTATGCTGGATACATCTAGATACCATTAGATACCCATATTTAGCGCCTTGGTAGCTGGGTTTCAATCAGATGCGCCGAGGCAGCAGCAACCAACGGTGCAGTGGAGGAAGTCGTGGGGGTACATGCCCCAGTATGCAGATGTTTGCGAGTCCATTAGGTCCACATGCATGAGGTCCCATTGAGGCCCCATTGAGGCCAGATCCAAGTCAGATTCAATGCACGGCAATATCTATACGTATACACACAGCAATGATTAATCATACGTATATATACATGCACATGTATTGCTGTCATGATGCTAGCTGGATGCTGATGATGGAAGGCAATGCGAAGATTTGAAGGTGACTCTGAGTGCCAGTCTCAGCTGATGCTGAAGCCAGAATATCCTAAGTGTATCCACTAAATTCCACGAATCCTAAATGTCAAATCCCAAGATCTCCCAAGAGATCCCCAGTTGTCTCTATGACTTCCTGCACATTTGGTTCTCTGATTGAGATGCCACATCAATGACGTAACCACCCACCACAACCATTACTTGACAGATCTTGGAGGAATTCATGAATAGTATTGCCTGCATTCATCAATCTAACACTTCTATCGATGGCTACTGGTGAACTAAACGGCAGGCATAAATATTGGGCCTTACACAAATCAGAGTGATCGAACATTGGTAGGATGGACTAGGAAGCTGGAAACATGAGTAACTAGCATCAAAACTTTCATAAAGAGTTTGTAAACATGGTAAGCTAGCATCAAATTTTTCCCGGTCACACACACACACATACGCAAACCAAGAAAACAAAGAACAAACATTGAGCATCGGATCAACAGATATCACAACAACCAACACGCTAACATAACTCCCGAACCATCCCCAATGATCCCAAACCATCCCCAACCCGCTTTGACATCCTTTGACATCCTTTGTTTGGCCTTGATTTTGTGTGAGGCTTTTGGCTTCAGGTTGCGGTGCGTTGGCAGGCCGCGCTAAGCATGGCGAAACCAAACTGTTCACAAGGGCTGTTGAGTACCCGCATCGCAGGTTTGGCTGCGAACCATCCACTAAACCAGCAGAGCTCTCAAGCCTCGCAAACAATTGGTCAGAAGTCTGACAATTTGAGATGCATGATGCTATATACTTTCATGGTGTTTTTTGCATAGCTGCTCGCGCATGAGAGATCATTAGATCATAAAATGGAAACTTCTACATCAGTTTATGAACATGCCTGCTTCAAACTAGTGATGAATGGAGCCAGCTTGCCCGATGAGTATGAAGCTGAGGTCATCAATCATGGCCTGTCGAAGCATTGAAGTCCAATCCTTAGGGTGAGATGTTTCAGGTGGATCTGGATCCCTGGATTCAAACTGCTCGAGCATAACTTCTTGGGTGTAGCTTCAACCCTCTTTTTGCTACTTGTATTTTCTGACGAGGTCATTGTTGATGCGATGACGAGATTTTCCAAGCATGCAACGAGCCAAGCAAGACAAATCCGTCAGCATCATCGCATCAGGATTTGACACATTCTGTGGTTTCTCGGTTCCTGATGGTTCCTGCAAAGGCTCGCCTGCAGACAATGGCTTTCGGTGCTCTGGGAAATCTCGCCGCAAACAACCCCAACAACCAGGCCTGTCGCGGTATGCCACAGTCAGCTCAGCCAATGCAGCTGCCACGGGTATCGATGAAGGGTCCAGCCCCATCCGTCAGGCAGCCATTGTGCAGGCAGATGGACTCCAACGGGTCTGAGCTTCAGCTTGGGGTAGGATTCAGCCCTGGAAAGCTCAGTTGGCCATACGGGGTGCAGAGCACGGAGTGCACATGTTTTTGAGCATGGCTAGTACTGCTTCAAAGGGCTTTGGATTTGTATCCATCCTGTTTGGACGTGAAATTTGCTGGCTGCCGGCAAACAGGGGCATCATTTCTTTCAGGACTCCCTGGCCTTTCTTGATTTGCTGGATGTGGGTCCCATGTCCCAACACTTCAACCATCTTCAACCTATGCAAGGTCAAAGTTGCTTTGCAGCAGCATCAAACGCGTCCAGTGGTTCTTTCCTCAGCTGGTTTGAATAGAAACCAGAGCTGGTTGACGGCAGCTCGGCGACAAGAATGGTTACAAATATATTCGGTGGGGATTTACCATGGTCGGAATATAATGGAATATATATATATTATTATATATTCGTATATACTGTAGTTGCAGTGAACCAACTTTGCCCTGAGGTTCTGACGGCGGCATTGGCCGCCACGGGCCTAGGGAGAACGTGTTGAGAACTGGGTAATGCGAAAAGACAGGGCGAAAGCCTTCTTGAACATCGTAACATCGCTGAAAAACACGTTTTTCCGCCTTTTGTTTGAGTTTTCGGTGACCCCAAGAATTGGAAGTGCCTTGGAGTTTGAAGGATGACGGACTTCATTCTGGTGGGAAAGCAGAATTTTGAGGATCCTTCTCCGGCAGCCACTTAGGCCTTGTGGTGCTTGCTGAAGCGTCATTCTGGCAACACTGACCTCGCTGGACAATTGGGTTGCTTGCCATCAACAATCCCAAGTGCAAAGTACATGTCGAGTCTAGTGGCTAATTTCTGCCAATTAGATTGCTATGATTGATGCGGGATTTGTTAGGTACCTCACACGCACACACACATTGTTATATATCATCTATAGATCTAATACTATACAATGATATAATAATATATAATAATATAATAATGCTATGTGCTCTGCATGTGCCAGTGTAAGTGTAATGGAGTAGTAAATGATTAAATCGGATAGCCTGGGTGCCCCGGGGGTCTGAGGTTTGGCGGAGTTGGCAATGCTGGCACTGAGGTGCAGTAGCTGCGGGGATGATTCGTGACGTCAGTACAGTGATAGAAAGTCTAAGGAATCGGGATAAGCCATGATAAGACATGATAAGACATGGCATGAAGTAACAGAAGTTATACAAAGAACGTGCATGCAGCACGGGAAAGCCCTGTGAGCTGAAATGCCAGCCTACGTAATAAAAGGAGTGGATCAATCAATATTGCATGAAAAAGAGGACGCGCAGGTACAGAGAAAACATAAGATTGAGATAGGTTAAGACTTTTCAGTTCCATCATACTCTTATCAACCAATGAGCACCCTTCAGCAGTCTTTCTTGACATTTGGATGATGTGTTTACTCAACTCTATGGCTGAGGTTTACTTTCTCACTGGTTTTTTGCAGCTACAAACTTCGGGAAGAAAGATTGTAATTTGTAACATGCCGATTGTTTGAAGGCGACATCCAGATGATCGAGGACTAAAGTCGATGGCGCTCCTTGGAGCATGGCATCACATGAGATCTTTCTCTTGACAAACATGTTTTCCATAGTTATCCCAACTTACTCATAAATTTGGTTTATGAATGTGATACGGAATGATACGGATACCCAATGATACCCATATGACATATTTTCCCATATGTTTTGACGGCGTTACATGCACTCAGTGGCTGGGCCCACTGAGTTCATCTGAGCCCAAGGTCTGGAGCCCTGAAGTGTTTGGTGCCTGGCTTGGCTGAAGTCCGCAAACTCAGCGCAACTAAACTTGGGCGATCTTGGGCAGGAGTTTTGATGCAGGAAATGGATGAACCAGAAAATGCACAAGATGATGCAAAATGCGCAACAATATTTGTAGTAGTGCTGATTGAAGCATTGACTGTCATTAAGAGCACAAGTGTTGGAAGCTTTGCAGTTTTCAAAGCCATTCTGTTAACCCGCCATGCATTTGTTGTGTTTGCTTGCTTTATCCACATGTGCTGCTTCAGCAACTCATGCACACCCATTCCGGCTATTCTGGTTAGTCGTTAGTTTCTCCCCTTGTCTTAACCCATATTGGTCTTCATTCCGCGGGACTAGTTCTAGCAACTGCACAAAATTGATCCTGCCACAGACCGGGGCATCACTCATTACAGCTGGATTCTCTTCTCATTGACATCATTAGGCTGAGCAATGACAGCAAGCCGCACATAGCAGAGATCATTTCCATACCACGGTTATCCACAGTCATCCACAGTCACCAACCTGGCAATATCTGGCAATCAGGCCCTCGCATGCCAGGCCCTGTTGATGTGCTGTTGTGATGGACCCTGGCAATGACTGGCCATCTGAGATCGGGTCTTCTAGGTTGATCTGAACATATCTGAACCAACTGAGTAATGTCTTGAGTGAAGGAGGAATATGGTGGCAAAAACGCCCACACCTGATTAGAAATGATTAGAATATAAAGATTATAAAGTGCTCGAAAACGGGGTGAAAACATCATGTTCATGCAATACTGTACTGTAGAGGTTGCTTCATTTGTGTGGCATTATTAAAGGCCAATGTCAGGATTATTCTGGATTCTGTTGTGGGTTAAACTATGGATCATTGTGGCATTGGCTTTGTCAATCAAGGATGTTCGCGTGGGTTTGATTGTGCCGCCGATATTGCATTCAACAGTGTGTCAGAAACATGAGCGCCAATGAGCACCAGATCAGAACATGTTAGAACTTTAACGAGAACCAGCGGCAAACCAGCGGTTCCTAGAGGCATCAGGATTTGCATCCAATCTGAAGCAAAGAGATCAAAGAGCATCTTGACAGAATCGTCTCGCGGGGCATGGCCATGGCCGAGCCCCCTACAAGGGCCGAAGTGGTGACGCGGCTGCAAGACGACCTTGATCAGATCTGGGCAGACAGCACCACGATTTACAGTACGATACGATAAAGGATTTGGGATGACTGGGATGATCTGGAATGATAAATTGGATGACATATGGCTTTGGAATGCTTTGGACGGGGGTGAAAATTGTGCTTCACCGACACGAGCCCAAACTTGCTATCACGTTTGTATCACGAAAACCATTTAAACTTATCGAGTCATTCCAGACCCAGCGTCTTGGATGTTTTTGGGCTGCTTATTATTGTGACAGTCTTGGCCGTGCACGCTGCGCCTGTAAGGTTTCACGGTCTCGCTTTCCAGTGCTCCCCAACCCTCACCCCACAAGTTAGTGAATATAGTGTTAAAGCGTGGATTATGAGTGTTGCTGTAGCCCCCAATGTGCATCCTTCTGTCGCTTTGAATTTGTACAGAGGAGATCAGAGGAGTCATATTATAGTATGGAGTACATGGAGTTGTGTGTAGGGGAGTGCCATGCGCATGGATGAGTTGTTGGATGTCGTTTGCAAAAAAAAGGGTATTGGGGATTTCCACCATTTTAATCAATTTCAGACCTTTGACCTAGGCGCGCACACACACACATATATATATATATATATAGAGAGAGAGAGAGAGACAGATCAGCGACCGTTCTTGCCAGTAAGTGACGAGACAGACAGTCTTTTCTGTGAGCGATTTGGTTGGTTTGGCAACTGGAAGCCGACATTGTGCCGGCACTGGCAGGCAAGCTGAACCTTTTCCGATGCTTGCGTGAAATTGTCGAGGAGGCTGTGACAGACACAGAGTGCGGAAAATTGAACGGCGGCCTAGTCTCCCGTGACAGTCTGTCTCTGACCTTGCCTGGCAGTGTGAAGGACAGCTGGCTCATGCGTGTGGAGTGTGGAAGGGGCGCTTGATGGCGCTTGGCACATTGGACAGCCTTTCCAAGTGACATAGTTTTCGCGTGTTACATGTTGTCGCTGTCAGGAGCCGGAAGTGGAGGATCCCGAGATCCCCCCCAAGGTCCAGAAAGGAGCGAAATCTGGTATCATTTTTTCTCGTTGTGGATTCACTGCATTTGCAACTCTTTTTGGCCAACACCATGACAAAGACATTGACAGTGTGCAGCACTTACTGTAAAATCATTCCCACGGATACTGAAAGTAAGGTTAGAGTGATCGATGTTGGTGAAATTGATCCCTCCACAATGATGTTCTTTTTTTTTTGTGTGTGTGTGCTTTTGCACTTTTTGCGCAGGAACCACTCAGCCCCTGCCCTATCACTGTCACAATATGTCAGATAGAGCGAAGAAGCATGCACAGTGGAAGAATGCGGAGCACAACAAAAACTTTATGTCAGCATCTCGCACCTTGGTTTGCAAAGCACATGCCATAGTAATCCACGATCATATGTCATAATTATCTATCGATTCTCTTTGGTCTATTATACCAGTAGTACCCGCACGAGGCGGGGCGGAAGTTGCCTTAAAGATATATATATATAAGACCTTTCTCATCTATAGAACTTGCATGCGCCGTGCGCCAGCCAAGCCCGTGCGTGCGTGCACTCTGCGAAACTGGTGTCGTGTTTCACATGTCACACTTGAAGCCCCACGTCACACTTCACACTTGACAGTCTTCACACTTCACACTGCACCCTTCGCAGTCAACACTTCACACTTCTCACTTCACACTGCACTCTCCCCAATCCACACTTCACACTCCACACTTCACACTTCACAGTCCACACTTCACACTTCTCACTTCTCATTGCTTTCTTCACACTCCACACTTCACACTTCACACTCTGACAAATGCACGTTCCCAAGTCTTTCTTGCTACACATGTCTGCCTCCTGGAAAATGCAAACGGCTGCGGCCAGAACACATCGCCACCATGGTTTCTGGTCAAGAGTTCTATAACTTGTTCCTGGACATCAATGTCACAACCTTTACCTACATCAATATCGTACACAAAACTCGAAATAGCAACCTACATCCACGAAATAGCTGACAAACTACTTCCCAGTACTACTTCCCAGTACATACTACTTGGCACTACACAGCTTGCACCCACTACTACTTTGCACTACAATTCCCAGTACTACTTTGTACTACAAAACTTGCACAAAGTACTCCCCAGTACTACTTTGTACTACAAAGCTTGCACAAAGTCGTTTCCAGTATGCTACAATTTGCTGCTCCAAAACCGGATCTCGACGCCAAAGCAAGAAAAAGACGATTTTGAAGCATTTTTGAAAAGGAATTTTAAAAGGAAAATTACTAGCGCCAAATTTGCGAAAATCTGCTGACAAATGACTATCGCAGCCTGGATGCAGCCACTCCAATACGATTTACAATCTTCAGCTGCAAAAGACAATAATATTACGCATGCAGCCGCGGCGGCAAGCAACCTTGAGGCAGCCACTCCAATGCGATCTGCAGAGACTGAGTTGCAAATCACAATAGAACTAAGCGCAACGGCGTCGGAAATTGCAGCTCCAAAACCGGATCTCGACGCCAAAGCAGAAAAAAGACGATTTTGAAGCACTTTTTAAAAGGGATTTTAAAAGGAAAATTACTAGCGCCAAAATTGCGAAAATCTGCTGACAAATCACTATCGCAGCCTGGATGCAGCCACTCCAATACGATTTACAATCTTCAGCTGCAAAAGACAATAGTATTACGCATGCAGCCGCGGCGGCAAGCAACCTTGAGGCAGCCACTCCAATGCGATCTGCAGAGACTGAGTTGCAAATCACAATAGAACTAAGCGCAACGGCGTCGGAAATCGCAACTCCAAAACCGGATCTCGACGCCAAAGCAGAAAAAAGACGATTTTGACGCATTTTTTGCAAGGAATTTTAAAAGGAAAATTGCTAGCGCCAAATTTGCGAAAATCTGCTGACAAATGACTATCGCAACCTGGATGCAGCTACTCCAATACGATTCACAAATCTTCAGCTGCAAAAGACAATAGTATTACGCATGCAGCCGAGGCGGCAAGCAACCTTGAGGCAGCCACTCCAATGCGATCTGCAACCGGAGATTCCAAAACACCCTATAACTACGCACACACAACCACACCCAAAGCAGCTTGCAGCCACCGTTACAATGCGGCAAAAAAAAAACGACAAACCGACCGCAGCCGCAACCGTCGCACACACGAGGTACCTTTCATCGTCGCCTGCAGCCACTTTACACGGAAAAACACAAGGTTTCGTGCTCCGGCTTCCTCCCCAAAACAGAGCCCATGCAACATTCATGCAGCCATTACAATGCGATCTGCAACCACAGTTTCAGGAAACGCATAGAACTACACCACAGGAATAACCACTTGTTGCAAAACACATAGAATTAGAAGGAACCAATCGCGTCCGGAACGACCGCAGCCGCACCCGTCGCACAGACGAGGTACCTTTCATCGTCGCCTGCAGCCACTTTACACGGAAAAACACAAGGTTTCGTGCTCCGGCTTCCTCCCCAAAACAGAGCCCTTGCAACATCATGCAGCCATTCCAATGCGGAATGCAAGCACAGATTCCAAAACACCCTATAACTACGCACACACAAGCACACCCAAAGCAGCTTGAAGCCACCGTTACACTGCGGCAAAAAAAAACGATAAACCGACCGCAGCCGCACCCGCCGCACAGACGAGGTACCTTTCATCGTCGCCTGCAGCCACTTTACACGGAAAAACACAAGGTTTCGTGCTCCGGCTTCCTCCCCAAAACAGAGCCCTTGCAACATCATGCAGCCATTCCAATGCGATCTGCAAGCACAGATTCCTTCCTCACCACTTCCCTTCCTCACCACTTCCCTTCGTCACCACTCCCCTTCATCATCACTTCCTCAAGGTCAATTTCATAGCTTCTTATTCTTTTGTTATGTATTGGTACATTATGTATTGTTATATTGTTATGTATTGGTACATTATGTATTGTTATATTATGTATTGTTATATGATCTACCACCCTTCCTCAAGGTCAATTTCATTGCTTCTTATTGGTTTGTGATGTATTGGTACATTATGTATTGTTACAGGATCTACCACCCTTCATCATAGTCAATTGCACCAAGTAAAAAGTCATTCGTAACTCGGAAATTGCTTCCCAACTTCCTTTGATAATTGCAGCTGTCCGGCACAAGAGCTTTGGGTTTGGTCTCATTTGGGTCCTTCCGATATTTGCTAACATCTCAAAATGTAATAAAATGTAGGCACGTGCCGTTAGCCGTTTTCTCTTCTAGGTGGAGATTTACCAATGGACGTCATTGTTTACCAATGTTCCCTACGCTGGAGCCCAAGCCAAGGTGTGGTTGAAATTCTCTCACAGGCAAGCCTGGTGGAGAAGATCGCACGTAGCAAATGCTTTGAATGGTTCAGCTGCTGCATCATTGTCCTCAACAGCATCTTCATCGGATGGCACACTCAGGCTCACAGTTTTGCATTAGTTGATTTTATTCGTATAATTGACGCAGATGTTCCTGAACATGCTAACATGCTCAAGCAGAATTGAAGCACATCAATGTTTGGTGACTCAAATATAAATTGTATGATGTGTTTGTATGTATATATATATATTGGTATATATTAGTAATATATAATATTATATATATGTCAGTTTCACTCCATTCTGCAAGAACGGCTTTGCTTTTCGCCCTGAATCGTCGTCAGGTTCTGGCAACAGGTGCCATTCAGAGGGCCAATGCCAACCTACAGCCTGAGATGGAAGTGGACGGAGGCATCGTTTTGATCCAGGGTCTTTTTACATCGCTCTTCATATCTGAGCTTTGCATTCGCTGGGCTGCTGAAGGATTGAAAGACTTTTGGATGTCCAATGATGTTGGCTGGAATCTGCTGGATTTGCTGTGCTGTGTCATTGGCCTCCTGGACGTCAGTGTTGAGCTTGTGATCCGAAACACTGGGCGCTTAGATGAAGGAAATCCCTTGCGGGGGGTGACGGTGGTTCGGGTGCTTCGCATTGTTCGCATTGTTCGGGTGGTTCGTGTGATCCGGATCATGAAGTTCTTCAAGGAGCTGAGGATGATGATTTTTTCCACTTTGAACAGCTTGCAGTCCGTGGTGTGGATTTTCTTCTTTTTGTTTGTCCTGTTCTATATGCTCCTTGTCTCCTTGATCTTCAAGCAATTGATTCAGCCTGGGGTTGGGCCAGGCAGCAGCTCTTTTATTGAACGGAGTTCTTTTCTGGATTATTTTTACGCACATAAACCGCAAACTATAAACTGCAAAATCCTGCAAAGACATGCAGATCCCCTGAGCATTCCTGACCATAGTATTTTATGTCTTTGCTGGCTTATTCATTGTTTCCGACAAAGCCAAGTATGTTATTACTTCTCTGGCTTATTCACTATATATTAGGCGGCATGCTAGTTCAGCACAGAAGGTATGAGATTGAGTTCGGATGATAGGACGTGAGGGTTCATCAATGTTCATCAAGGTTCAATATTCGATAGTGTTCGTCATCATATTCAATGCAAAACACACACACACACATACTGTAATATGTATTATACAATATATTATATTACAATATTATACACACGTATATACTAGCAGATTTCATTGTAGTCTGGTCTGATTTCACACTATTTGGGTCCTACGCAGGTATGTTCTTCTTTGGGCAAATGCAGTAACATCGTCAGATTGGCTTTGAACATCCGGGTGCTGGGATATCGTGGATAGATTTGAGCCAGAAATTACGGTGGTTTTCAATGTATTGCTCGTTTTTGTCTTATCAAAATCATGGGGACTCTATATCGTTTTGTATAATATGTGGTTTTGATGGACATTTAGGCAAGATTGAAATTACGGCAGCATGGAACCCAGATAGCAAAAGATATCTTTTGGTGGCAACCAAGCACTCGCCTTTTTTGCTACGGCATCAACGTAATCTCTATCAGGGCCCGGCCCAACGCCCACACTGCCATAGACATCTCGCAGCGACCCCTGCAGCGACACCAGCACCCAAGCTTCATAGCGCACACCGCACTCTGACAGCACCCTGTAGCAGCATCCAAGTTTCTAAGATGCAGACAGCCTTTTGCAGCGGCTCCAAAGCGGCACCGACATGCCAGCTCCAAAGCGCACATGCCACTCTAACAGAAGCACCCTGAAGCAACACCCTGCAGCGGTACCCTGCAGCGGCACCCTGCAACAGCACCAACATGCAAGCTCCAGAAGGCACACCCCACTCTGACAGCACGCTAAAGCAGCACCCTGCAGCAACACCCCGCAGCAGCACCAGCAAGCCGGCCTTCAGGACCGTGAAGCGCACACACCACTTTCACAGCAGCACCCGCAAGCAGCACCTTGCAGCTGCACCCTGCCGCCGCACCAGCATGCACGCTCCAAAGCGCGCACGCCACTCTGACAGCAGCACCCTGCACCGCCACTGTGCAGCAGCACCCTGCAGCAGCACCGGGCAGCAGCCCCCTGCAGCAGCATCAGCATGCCCGCCCCAAAGCGCACACCACTGTGACAGCAGCATCCTCAAGCAGCACCCCGCAGCGCCGCCCTGCAGCAGCACCAGCATGCCCGCTCCAAAACGCAGACATGCAATTCCTTCTTTGAACCCCACTTGCTTCGCTACCTGGGGAAAAATGACTATATCTAGAAATTGCATGAAATTGGATTTAGTTTGTGTAATGTAGTCAAGTGCATTCTGCAGTTGGCCGAACATGGTGTAAAGTAATCTCTTCTCCATAACGTTAAAGGGCCCCCCCGCTCCCCATGCTCAGCTGCCCCCCAAAAAAATAACTTTCGTATGGAAAACAACTGAACAGCAAAGGAAAAACACGTCACATATATAATTATTCCAAAAGACTCCAAAGGAATGAAACAACAAAACAAATAGGGGAGATGAAATGAACATGTAATGCATAAGAGGCTGAAGTCACCAAATAGAGGGGTTCATGGTTCATGGGTATGGCAGGCAACAAGGGTTTTTCAGAACTTCAGGGTTCTGAAAGTCGACATCTCCAAAACTCGTCATATTAGGGGAAGTACTTCCATATGGGGCAATGTCGAGCGAACCGTTGCATTTTTTTGCCGGTTGGCAAGGTGGTTTTCTCAAATGTCATTGCCATCGCAGAAAAAATACAAAAAATACCAAAAAATACTTGACTTGACCTCGTTGGATTTCTTCATATCTTGAAATTTGGTGAAGATAAGCTCAAAAGAAACGCTGAACAACCACCACATTTCAACCACAAGGCCTTTGACCTAAAATTATAGTTTTGCAACTTGAGGCGTTTTGGATCCGTTACGTACAAGTACACCAGCAATCAAGAACATGTAGAGGACGCAAGTAAAACAGGATGACACCCAAATAGAAATATGGCGCGGAATTGATGACAGAACATACAAAATACAAAAACAGTTGGGTCTGAAAATGCCTAAAACATTTGAAATCATTAAACATTACATTACAGCGCATTTCAAACCCATTTCGCATTGGAATGCTCCTCAGGTTTGGCATCGCCTTTACCTCTAGCGTTGTGAACTTCCTGGACACACTTGAACGGAGACAAGATCCAGCATACTCTTCCTTGCTGAAATATTTTGGTTCCCTGGATGTGTCCATCCTCACCCTGTACATGTCCATGACTGGTGGCCAAAACTGGGGGGTTTTCTACGAAGCCTTGAAGACAGTGCCTGGTGGTGAAGTGTCATGTATTCTCTTTATCCTGTACGTCACATTTGCACCTGGGCAGCAAGGATGTTTTGGGGCAGGTGTACTGCGCAGTTTTTGGGGCAGGACTTCGCTCAGGGTTGCCCAGCCGCTGCTGCAGGCTCTCTTTGCTGTGGTCAACATTGTAACTGGTGTCTTCGATTCTTTGCAGCAAAGGTGGATGGTTTGTTCAAGATAGATTTTTGTATTTGGTGCTGTCCTTTGGACAAATGAAATCATCTGATTTGACCTGTCATTCTGTATCAAATATATAGTTGGTCAGGTTACCATCAACACAGAAACATACAGAAACACTTCAGCTTTGGGTTTTGGCAAACATCATCCAAGCACTTGGTGCTACTGCAAGGCTGTACAGCCCAGAGATGCAAAATAAGCGATGATCATGACACAGTCACAAGCAGAGTGGTCCAACATTGAAGACTATCTCTGCGGATTGCCTTTCGTCTCGCAGCGTTCCGCAGCAGTCAACCTAGGTTGATACAGCACTGCAATCCAGCAAGGATGACCGTGAGGTTGCTGTCCAGGAGTTGTTCGATTTTTGTGCAGCTAGATCGACATGTGTAAAACAAAAACATACAAAAACAACTATCTGAAGACTTGCGGTTACTGTTGGGAGAGCCTTTCTTGACAGGACGAAGTGGAACACAAGAAGTCGTACCTGAACCACTTACGGGAACTTTTTGAGGCGATAGACGTGTCAGCCGAAGGCATGATATCACGTGACACCTTGCAACATGCTTTCAAGCATGAGACAATTGTGGCCTGTTCGCAAGCTTACAGCTCACCAAGATATCCAAGATTTGCCATCGACAGAAGCATCATGAAGTTTCAATGGGCTGGCAGTTGAATGTCTTGAGAGATTGAAGAGATGCAGGGTGTACTTTCGGGTCCTTCGTTGATTCTGTTGCTCAGGTCGCGTACTTCAACTCCCTGAAGATCGATGCTCCCGATGCAAAAACCCTCTTCGACTTGCTTGATTACGACCAGTCTGGGGAAATCGATTTGGAGGATTCTTCTGGCGTGCAAGATGCTGTAGGTATGGAGTGCAGTTTCATCTAGTTTGGCTTGTTCTAGGTGAAACCTGTTTAGATTAGATGGGGCACATTCTACATTTTGCATTGTTCGCCATGAGAGAAAGTACAGATGTCTAGAATTTTTGGGAATTGGCGAACTTGAACCTGGGTGACTCTCAATTGCTGGAGCAATTTGTGAGGAGTTTCTGCATGGCTGCTACAGCTTGCACGGTGATGCGTCGCACCTTGAAGCAAAGATTCTACAGATGGAAGTAAGGCAAGGCACAGCTGGAAAGTTCCAGGAAAGAATGGGAGCCAACTGCTGAGCCAAGTTAGTTGCTGTGTGGCTATGCCTTGGATAACGGCCAAAGAGAATATATGACAAGTAGTCTAATGCAGTCACATGAAGTCACCTTGTTCTGTCCGATGGTCTTCTTTGTCGAAATCATGTCGGTCCAACGGGCAATTCTTGCAGTTCTTGCAAGGCGCTCCATTTCCATGCCATGCTTTTGTGTCACAAAGTTTGCATTTGCTGTGAAGGTTTGTGAAGGAAATGTTGATGCAGTTGATGGATGACTTCCAAGATCTGCGGAAGAGACGTTTGCGGCGCCCTTCGACAGACAGGGTCGACAAGGGGGACCGAAGCCACACCAGCAAAGGACTTCACTGACGCAGTGATCATGGTCCAAATGTCGTTGATATTTTTGTCAAGTGAGCCAGGAGCTGCACTTTGAAGCTAGTCTTAGCATACATGTATAATGCAAATGGCCCACAGGCATCACTGCATCCGTTGAAGTCTTGATTCTTGGACTTGTTGATGGTTTCTCCGAGTTTCTCCATTGAGTGATGCTCAGTGGTGTTCAGTACAAGATCATTCACTCATATTCACTCTATGAGCTCCATGAATCTTGACCCGTGCCTTGATCCCAGTGAGCCAATTTTGTTCCGATAGCACCGTCTCGCAATGAGTGGTGTCATGGCCCGCCCAGACCGCCATGGCTGCCGAAGGCATGCCAACTGGCCCATACTGGCCCTGTACTAAATCTGTACAGCTCTGCGAAACGCAGTGCTTTGGCTATAGATCGCATTGCAGCAATTGTTGGTTTGACCCAACTTTGTTTTACTGGATTTTTTTGCAACAGTCTGTTCGACATGAATGTCAAAACTTCATGTTTCAATTGCACCGGAAAAAAGTTCAGCAGTCAGGGTCCTGGCACCGCAAGCGTGTGCATGCAGTGCTCAGCTGAGCACATAGAGATCATAGACATGTTTTCTTTCACCTTCCAGTCAACAGTCTGGTGATGTTAAAATATGTTAAGACTTAAGAAACCTAGGTTGAACCGCATTAATGATTGAACATGAGTGAATGAGCTTCAAATTCTTCAGGTTTTTTTTTGGGTGATCTGGGTGATGCTCTTTGGATCTTTTAGGAATCTCATGGTTTTTTTGGGGAGCGCCATAGGGAACCTGCCTCGACGGCAGCTTTGCCAGGCATCCAGCACACCGCGGCCTGGACAGAATGGGGCAGTGGGTTCGAGTGGGTTTCCAGGAAAAGCCACAGGTTTTGCCAACCCTTTGCCATCCAAATTTTGGGGGTTGGGACTTTGATTGTCTGACTCTGAAACGTCAGCATATGTCAGCATCCTTGCTTACACATGATGACACCACTGCAGAAAAAGCATCAGGGATGTAGACATCCAAGATGGTGGGAGAAATCAAGAGTTGCAGGAATAGATTGCAGAAGCTTAAAAGAAGCAGCTGGAAGCAACAGAGGAATTTGGTGCAGTTTCAGCAATGAATGGACATGAGGGCCAGCACGAAGCAAAGAACCAAAGGGCAGCAAAGGACAACAATAGAAAACTTGCCTGCTAGATCCTGCTAGAACAAAGTTGGAAAAGCCATAAACTGTCTCTGAGCGAAAGCTTGAAATTAGGAGACTTTCAGGAGACCTTGCCATACCTTTCCTCCATATAGAGACTATCACTTTACTTTGGGTTCTCGGGTTTGTGGCTTGTTTGTTGTATGTTGTTATATAATAATATTACATAAGATTTGTTGTGGTTAGGAACAGGTTTGCAATGGTTTGCTCGTGTTGATGTCATGAATCTTTGAGAGGTTCGTTTGGCATAGCATCATGAAGTGGAAGATGTCAAGCCGGGCCGAGCTTTGTACATGGTGCGTTGTGGCCTCTCTGAAATGCTTTTCCATCACGAAATGCAGAGACCAACATTGTACCATGGATGATCATTGATGTTTAATCGTGCGTGTTCAATCGTGTTTGTATTGCCTATATTATTACACACACATATACATATATATATATATATATATATTACACACGCACACTTGTGTTTTGTACAAATTTAATGTGTGTGTGTGTGCGCGTAAGCCAGGCAAAAATCCGGAGGAGCATTCCGCATGTTCACCAACCCATGACACCACACTGAACCAAGGTCATCGGTCCGACAGGATACAGGCCCGATTTAGTGAGTTCATGATTCGTCAAGTTGCCATTCACAGGGCACCCAGCCAACCCCCACGGTGATATAAAAAACAGTGTCCATCAGCGTGACATGAAGCGGATTAAGATTCATTGTGACATATTGTGACCTGAATCAGATGTAGACAGCTTGCCGTACTGTTTGCTATGGTCATTCCTGTGTGGCAAGGCCTTCCAATGTCAGCGTCGGGATCAAAGCCGATGTCTGAAGATAGCTTCTGAAACGGAAATAGCTTCGCTTGCGTGACGTCTGTTACACCTTGCTTTTCCGCAGTAAGAGGAACCCTGCGCTCCCTGCACCTTGAGAGTGAATTCGCTAACGCTAGATCCACTAGTGGGCAGCAGGCAGCTGGCAGGAACTTCAGAGTGCATGAACTGTGCATGACTCCATGCGGTATTCATTTGTGCCGATTTTTCCGTACAACCGTTCTGATGTAGCATTGCTCCTTGAATGTTCCTGCATGCTCAATAGGAAGTCTGCAGAATGCAGCAACCTGATATCACTTGCCCGAGGTTAAAGATGCCTATCGATCTAATCTGTGTTTTTCTGAATTCCATGCATGCTCAAAAAACCTGCAGAATGCAGCAACCTTATCTTGCACGAGGAAGAACATATCCCTGCAAGATGTACTTAGTTCGTTTCTGGGCTCTCAAACACCTCGCTGGTTCGCTGATTGTGCTTTGCAGATGTGGAAGGTGTTTCGAGACGAAAAAACATCTTGGAGATGTGTGCGAAGTGTTGGAGAGCTGATCCGAAACCAGCGAAAGCTCAGTTCTTTGCGGTTTGGCATAGGCACCAGCAGCACCTCCGTGAAAAAAGTTGCTTTGATTTTCTTTGGACCGGAGATTCGCCTGGATGCCAGCTGATGATTGGCCATGGTCAATGGATGTCAATGGCCAGCCACAAGCTTGTGAAGGTGCCCCTGTCATCCCCTGTCAAGGTCCGGGTACTGTAGAAGGAATCAAGGCGAACATGGAAAGCCAGCAGAAAGCACAAAGCAGCCCACGCATGTAATCTGGTTGATGAAACGCGCAGCTTTAGGATGCTTTAGGGGATTTGTGTGAGAACAACATCAGGTTTGGTGTTTGAACAATGAATCCAAAAATATAAAGATGAATCAGGCTTCCCTCTCTGGTCAGCCCTTACTCACAGCTGAGCAAGCAAACCGGAAGTCAGCACATGGCGAGATCGTTTCTTTGTGGAATTTTATCGCTGCACATGTCCTGCAGACAATGACAATTCCAGCTTTGCCAGAGTGCCACAGGAGCTATGGGATTGCAGGGGTGTGAATTGACTAGTGTTCTTTATTTGTGGCTTTCGGACAAGTTCAGGGACAGGTGAACATCCACTCAACAAACTCAACTCAGTTCAATATATATAGGACCTAATAGGAGTGCAAAAACACTGGCGCATAGACTGCCGGAGAACGCTTGGAGGAGATCTAAAGTGAATCAACCGATCTGATTTTGAAGGTAAACTACTAGTCTGCTGGCATTTAAGCTAGCTTTTTTATGCATTTTGAGAAGTAAATTATATATACGGCATTTATTTGCGCCAACGGATATTGTAGACTTTTGCTGCCCTGCAGGCAGAATGAGCGCTTGACGGAGATCAGATGTCGATTGGCCTGCTTCCCATGTTTTTTTCTTAATATCATATGTCTAATGTAGATAGGTGCAGAGAAAACCAAATTCAAAGTTCCGTTTTTTGTGATATCCTCCGGGCAGAAAATTCAGACTTGTGCAAGGGTAAAACAGGAGAGCTTGCCGCATAGCTGAACTCTTTGGAGAGAGCCATGAGAGAAACACATCGGATTGGTGTTGCCAGGACGCATTGGCAAATCAGCATTGCCAAGCTTTCTTCAACAACGAGCACAGAGCCCCAATATGCCCCAATGTTTCTGTGATGTTCTATGAATGATTAAACTTCCTGAGGATGACAGTGCGTAAGGACATGTTGAAGATGCTGAAGATTCAGGAGGACAGATGTTGTGGATTGTGAATACTTCATAACAACACACACACACATGTAATATATATATATATATAATTATATATAACTATAACATTATATAACTACTGTAACTGCAATTTGTGAATCATTTCAACATGTCCATATATTTCCATGGAATTATTGGAATTCACGGACTCAGGCCTGGCCCAGACCTGGCGCAGATCACCGGTTTGTTGAAGGAGGCAAGAGAACATCGGTCCACCAGATTCCACCAGATTCCACCAGTCTACCTGTGTCTACCTGTGGAATAGATGGACTTCATGACATCGTATGACATCTGCAGTGAATCTACAGGTCGATGTCATGTACAATGAGCTGGGCATTCACGAGCGCACTCCTGGCAGTTGTTACTTCAAGGATCTTCAATGTGTAATGAATATTAATGAATCCTTGGTGAGACAACAAGATGTTGCAACAACGTGCAGGGACCTGGAGGAAGCCTGGCAATTTATATAAATCCAAGTTCGCCAGGAAATTCCATCACTTTCTTCTCCCACTGTAGAATAAAAAACTCCTGAAAACCTTGCCTGACGATGTTTATGAGCTCCGGCCAATCCACCAAAAAGCATCAAAAGAATTGCAGCCACCAACCATTCCAGGTGCCAAAGCTGACATGATGGTTGGCTGCGGTATAAGCCCAAGTTGTGATTGGAACGCCAGCGTATATATATATATATATATAATACTTTGGAGGGACGTGCTTCTACCAGTGGTCAAAATGGCACTTTTTTTGAGTGGCACTGCCAGCCTTTGCATTGCTTGTTTTCAAAGTGTCTCAAAGTCAGTTTTCTTCAGGGGATCATGAATGAAGCACAAGAACCCCAAATGGAGAAAGATAATAGCATCAGATAATAGAATGGTAGAACAAAAGAACACAATATTGAAAACAATGTTGACATGCAATGCATAGTGGAACTGCGGATGGAACTATGGCCAGCAACTGGTAAGGCCCTCGCTTTAGAACGCGGAGCCGACCATCGCTTTAGAACAGGGTCTCAACTATCGCTTTAGAACGCGGAAGATGATCCTACGTCATCAAGATAGAAGTTCCCCAGCCTGCCCCACCCCATGAACGTTATTGCCCCACCCCACCCCAACCCCACCCCTTGCCAGTCCCATGATGCGTGTGTTCTAGAAGTGTGTTCTGAAGTGATGCAAAATGGATTGTGTTCTGAAGTGATCTTGTTGCCCCAGCCCGAGCAACTGGATGCAACTGGCAGGTTGGCACATGCTGGGTCAGGACGATAAGGCCTTCGACCCCTTGATGAGAGCTGTTGCCTCCGATGGTTGCGGGGTGCCCAAGCTTTCGAGGCATACGCCGTAAGCAGTAGCTGAACCTGGCTGAGTGGATCAGATTTGCTGGAATTTTGACTGGTTGTGCGCACTAGTAGAGGGGTCATGAGAGTCATGAGGTGAGGAAAGGTGAAAGACATACTCAAAATACCTCAAACACTTTCTGGCATTATACTTGCATTAAAGGATATCAAAGGATTTGTGGAATACCTTGGCTTCGACTGGAACTTGGCGAGTGAAGCCATAAAAATCGGCGAGTGTATGGATATTAGATATAGGTACACAGCAAGTAAGGACAGTTGAAAGGTGATTTGTTTTTGGAGTGCGAGCTAAACTGTGAACCAAACCAGGGAATCCACAGTCACACTTCGCTGAAGCGCCTGAAG